CGTCTCAGTAATTATTTCACATGGTGTCTTGCCACCTTTGTCGAATTTTAAAGTATTTTTTCTGTGATTTTTTAAAAGGAACACCCTCTAACTAATTACGTTATCACCTCTAACACTTTCATTAAAGTGTCCCTATACCTATTGATCCATGTTTTCCATATTATTGGTTTTTCTTAGTCGTTTACAAAAATAAGCCGCTTTAGAAGGATATTCATTAATTAGATACACAAAATCAATAATCAAGTAATCAGTAGTCAGTTCATTAGTCCTACTACCTTATTGAATTCCCAGTTTAACACTGCTTCCGAAATCGTTACTCAAATTTCCACACACACATTTTGGAAATAGTATATTATGCAAAATGTTTACCAAACGTGTTGCATACTTTTTTCGCAAAACGACATTAATACATTCACTGACATGACCGTCAGAATTGACAAACGTCAAAAATCAAGCCGTGCGATAAAATCTCCGAAAACATCCGATTGCCCCTAAACCCGGGCAGTAATATCCAGGAAATTTCCGAAGTGGCTCGGATCCGTGGGACAAGAAATTCACGTGGTAAAGTGACGCTTCCCGCACTCTAGATCGGTGTATAATTAGGTATTTTACAGAAGGGAGTAAAAAAAAGTTATTCAAATTCTTAGTTCTTCTAGTAGAAGTAAGTTAACGTGTTTTTCTAAATGATTAATAAAAACGAATATTATAGAAAAATTAGTTCGGAGTTTGTGTTGTATTACCACGCTCTCATGAAACACACTGGAGAATTATTAATGTTGTTTTAAATATTAATTTTATGCAACTGCTATTAAAATATAAGGGAGATAGACAGACCAAATTTTTACTATGGTTACACGGTGGTTACACCAAATTCAGAACGTAAAGAATGCGTACAGGGTGTCACACATAAAAGTGACACATATACTTTTCTCAAACCCTGTAATTGTTACCAGGAAATTTTGAATACAAGGTTGTTTGCATTTAAGGTAATTTTGAGATTACTCAATTTTGGATTATAAGGACGAATACGCAGAAAGTGTAAATTTTATCAAATTAAAATACCCTATTTTAGAACATTCTATAGCAGGCTTTCTTCCCTGGAAGTCTGCAGTTGCTGACTAAAAGTCACTTTTCTCGGAAACTTAATTACTATTGTTTTGTTAATATAGGACTCGAAATCAAGGAATAAAATGCCAGTTAAGGTGGTTTCGTCAATCATGTAATTAGATAGGTAAGTTGCAATTATGCTTGAAAGAGTAAAGTGGGAAGATCGAATTCAAAATACAAGATGAAATGTTTTTACGTTGGTAATCAAAAGAATAAATAATCGTTAATGCTATATTAGTTTTAATATTACTATTATTAACAAGATTGCTTTCGAAAAATCGTCACTGGGCGGAGCAAGTTCGTAGCGCGTAGCGCGAAGCAGCTTTTTATTATTTCGTGTGGTAAAGGGACGCATTGTTTTTCCATCATGCTCCTGCGGACCACTATGGAACTTTCGCAAAATTGATGTAATTTAATTGTGTATGCACCCTGTATAAAATGTCGTTCACTTCAAAGTTACAGCAAACATCGGTAAATATCAAAATTTGCACAAATAATAGCGTTGTGGAATGATATTTTTTCAAATATCTCGCGCCCTGTACAATTGACAAAATCTGAAACTCTCACGACACGATTTACGATACTGTTCAAATAAAATTAGATATCCCATCTTTAACTGTTTTTCATTTATCGCCAATAATTTAGCCACAAAAACGGAAATTTTTAGGATATTTTAGATTTTTTGCCCATAAACGATACAATCATTGTTCGAAGTAGAGGTTGTAACCCTGGATTTTCAACGCGTCCTGGTTCAAGGATTTGTTGAAAATAGTAAATGGTTTTCGAGAAAATAAGTTTTTTCTGAAACCATGCAGTGCGCCGTAATAATCAATGACGTCATGGCGTCTTGACAGCCCCCGAAATAGCGATTTCAATATGGATTTTTTCAAATATCCCGAGCAGAGTATGTGACAGACGAAAACTGCAAATATAAAAATTGTAGCTCTTGATGCGGCCTAGACACCGTTTGAACCAATTTTATACGATTTTTGATTTTTCTAGGTCTTTTAGATTTTTGCCTGTAATTTGAAAACCCTGTATATAATCGAAAAAATGTCTGAAATAAATGTTATTGCACTGGATCTTCTACGTCTGCCGGTTAAAGCATTTTGCCAAGCGGATGAACGATTATGGAGGAAAACGTATTTTTCTGGAAGCTAAAATTACTAAAAAAATAAAAATTCAAATATATTTAAAAAATACTTGGTAATATTTAATTGCACCCAATTTCTGCAGTTTAAATGTGAACACGGACTTTTGCTTCTCTGCTAAATTTGAAGTTGATATCTGCAAATTTAGGACACTTAACACATTTCTCATTTAGCACGGAATATCGGGAACACCCTGTACAATAGGTGAAAACCTTAAATACAAAAGTTTTTGCTATCTATGCGGGCTATATCGCAATATAAAAGAAAGTGAGATCTGAATCATAGTCTTTCAGTTATAACCAATTTTCAATAATAGGAGGACCCATTTTTCAGTCTTTTTGAATTTGCAGGGCACCCTGTATATTTTTGAAAAATTGTCTCGAATAAAAGTTTATAGAGCCGAATCTTCTGCTTCTTCTGGTTCAAGAATTTTTTTGGTCATGTAAATAGTTTTTGAAAATTTTTTTTTGTTGACCCTTGCACACGCGATTTTTTAATTTTTTAAAATACTTCCCGACCCCACGGACCCCTCATTTTCAATAGATTCCGTCACGGGGTAAAGCTGCATATATGTGCCAAATATTAAGTCGATTGCTTCAAATTTCGGACACTTATCGTGTTTCATAGCAAGGTCCAAAAAACAGTCGAAAATCGCGAAAAAAAGATGGATACCGGGGTCGGATCAGGGCCATTTCTCACAAGCTTATGTGCCTCGCGGAGGATTAAAAAGGAGGCAAATTTCAATTTTGTAACTCCAACGGTTCGAAAGTTATTCAGGAAAAACCAAAAGACCAGAACGGAGAACGGACAAAAAAATTTTTTTTTTCGACAGTGATCATTTCTGTAACAGCGATCCCATAGGACCCACCGTTACCGAGATATAAAATTTGTATACGAACGCAGATACTTTCGAAAATTCGATTTCATCGATTTTCGAAAGTAAGAAGTCAAATAATCTTAAATGTTTGATGAAAGTTACTTTTGTTTTTTTGTAAAATATAGAGTAATGCGTTTAAAAATGCAAAGTTAATAATAATAAAGAACTTTTGTATTTAACACCCGGTAAATGTTAGTTCAATTTAAAAAAAAAGATTTAATAGACAATCTACTTTTTACTGTTAAGTTTAATAGGGGAAAACGATTTATGTGCACGTAATGCTTTGGCATTTTCTGTAATTTATGACACCATTCGATTAATATCAGTGCCCGCGTATGTTCTAGTCGTTGTTGAACCTATTATATCCGGTTAAGTTTGCGAAAATATTCGCCTCCGTTTTATTAGATACTGGTGCCATTCCACAACGCGAATTGTATGGGCACTCTAAATAAAATTCCTTGCGGCCACCGAAAATGAACATTGAACATAAATAAACACAAAAAGCAGTTATGTGGTACGAACCACGAAAAATTGTTTGATTTTATTAAAAAAGAAGATAGCCAAACACTTTTCCAAAATATCACAAGTAATAATAATATAGCAAATCAAAAACGTGCTAGATTCTGATTTTCAGTGTTAATTCATAGAATATTTCATATTTCGAAAAAAGAATAGAGAAAATATTCGCCTTTTTTATTAAGTTTTTATTTCGCAATGCTAATAACCCTGTTATATCCTAAATAAAAGTCCAAATAAAACGGTTTTGCTCACCGAAAATAAACTTTGAACATAAATAAATTCCAAAAGCAGTTAGATACTGATTGGCATTGGATTGATGTTATAAAAAAAATAGTAAAATAAATTTTCAAACAATGGTGGTCTATCAAATTAGCTCAACAAATATTCCAATAAAGTAAAGGACAAAAGGTGACAATTTCTGATTTTCAATATTAACTTACGTAAGCCATTAATCTATAGAACTTTTCATTTTTCGAAAAAAGTTATTTGCAATGTTAAAAACTCTTTTTTTTATAAATTTATATTAGATATTGATTGCCATTGGATAACACGGAAAAGCAGTTTGGTACTATCCATTAAACGTTTGTTAATGTTATAAAAAAATAGCAACAAGTAAAACCGCTAAAGTAAAAGAAAAAATGTGCCAGTTTCTGATTTTCTGTGTTAACTTACATAGGCCGTTAATCCGTAGACTTTTTCATTTTTAGAAAAAACGTATTCGCAATTTGAATGACGCAATTTTTTTAGATGCTAATTTCCATTGGATAATATGGAAAAGTCCAAATAAAACTCCTTTACTCACCGAAAATAAAGTTTGAACATAAATAAATACAAAAAGTACTATCCATTAAACGTTTGTTAATATTATAAAAAAAAAACAAGTAAAACCACTAAAGCAAAACAAAAAACGTGCCAGTTTCTGATTTTCCGTGTTAACTTACGTAGGACGTTAATTAGAATTTTTCATTTTTAGAAGAAAGGTATTCGCAATTATAATAACGCAATTTTTTAGATATTGATTGCCATTGGATAATATGCAAAAGTCCAAATAATACTATTTGCACACCGAAAAAAAACTTTGAAGTTAAATAAATACAAAAAGCAGTTTGGTACTAGTCATTAAAAGTTTGATAATGTTAAAAAAAAATAACAAGTAAAACCGCTAAAGTAAAAGAAAAAAACGTGCCAGTTTCTGATTTTCGGTCTTTACTTACGCAGGCCGTTAATCCGTAGAATTTTTCATTTTTAGAAAAAAGTTATTCGCAATTTTAATAACGCAATTTTTTTAGATGCTGATTGCCAATGGATAACATGGAAAATTCCAAATAAAACTCTTTTGCACTTACGTAGGCCGTTAATCCGTAGAATTTTTCATTTTTCGAAAAAAGGTATTCGTGAAAATTCATGTTCGGTATATCCATCTGTATACCGGACAGAACGTTCGAATATTTGGGGCTACTTCCGCCAAAATTTCTGGCACCCACGACACGGCTACTTTTCGGAATTCGTCGAAACCACGATATTAACATGTTCGATCAAAGATTTGCTCTCGGTAAGCCTTCAGAATCCGATCTTTTAAAAAGTACTTCGCAAACTGAATCGCTCCAAGAAATTAGTTTTTGAATAAATCGTTTCTTCAACTTTCAAGGTTTCTGTAGCAAAATAAAAAAACCTATACCGTGATTGTCGCAATTAACGCTATTGTTATAAATATTTTAAATCAATTTAGCATTTATTAAGTCGCAAAAGTCATAAAAACTAACGTTGGCGCTCACTTGGGTTGCGAAAAAATTGGCGGCTGGCTTGACACCAGCCAAGCTACAATGAGTTGACTAGTTGCGAATAACCGCCATATTTGGATAAAACACGCCAAACGGCTTGTGAAATGGAGAGTGTTTTTAAAAAGTGCAGCACGAAAATGCCGAAGCGCTTTTTTTTTCAATCGTTACACCTGTCGTTAATATAGTGAAGGGTAGAGTTAATATATCGTGAATCGCACATGCCGGGAATATATTAAAATAATAATTTAAATTGTTATAATAAAATTATTAATTTAGTTGACATTCTCTTTACGAATTGAACTGAGGTGGCTTTTACTTGATGAAAATCCATTTATCAAAATAAATAAGAACTAAAAGTTCAGATTTTCACGAAATTATATATTATGACATGACAATTGTTTCGACAACACCGTGTCTTTATCAAATCTTTATCATTTTTATCAAATTTTATGATTATGCTATTGTTATTTGATGTTATACCGTGTATCCCAATGAGATTCTATTAAGGAAAAGGAAGGTCCTAGAAATTTGAAAAAAAAGTTCAAATGTAAAAAAAATACGTTCAAATGCTTTTTTAAATAAATGTCTGATCGTCCAAAAGGCTTAATACATTTTATTAAACTTGGAGTTCTTAAAAGGAACTTTCTCCAGGCTATCAATCGGGCTACGCATGAGTGCCACCAGGTGAACTTTATCGCAAAAAAAAAAATCACATTCTGCAAAAAGAAAGAGAAAATAGCATTTCAATTCAAATTCTATATTATTAGACATCAATAACAACTAGTAAAATCGAGCAATTTAACGATAAGTTTCATATGTTGGATTCTTATTTGACTATATCTAATAAAAAAAAATTTAAAAATCATATCGTTGCATTTATTTAAAAAAAAAACTTTTTCTGCGATTAACCTTTAACCTGTGCACTGATTTAAGAAATTTTATTTCGATTTATAGTATCACCTATTCTATAGCGGATAAGTGATAAGAAAATTGTTCCGCAGCAGTTATTGCTTACTACTAACAACTAGTAAACTCTAATACACTTCTTTAATTGTCTACATCGTTTGAAGTTCTGTACTCTTAGCTCTAAAAATTGCTATATTTAACTTTAGTTAAAGATAGCTCATATTTTTTTGAAATCATAATATAAATTTTTCTTACCTAGTAAAGTCAATTTAAACTAAAACAACCAACCTTCCTTTCACTATTTCTTCTAAAATGGGAGTTAATGAAATTTTTTCATTTTTAGAAGTTGAAGACTAAAAGTATCATTGTGTGGCAAATAATCTTTAAAAAATTAGAGATCTATTACAAGTTGGGATTTTTAGATTATAAAAGTTGCTAGAGTAATTAGGACAACATATACAAAATTTATTTTGAAATTTTGAGAAATTGCAAAAATAATTATGTATGGAGTTATAGTTAATAACACCAAGTTTTCAACTATTTGCTAGAGCACTTCCACTGATTTTTTATAACACGATTATTCACCTCATGTCCAAACAACATCCCAATAATCACGAAATAATGATACTAGAGAAAGAAAGTTATTCAGTTGTTCAGTGTTATCTTTGCAAAAAACTTTTTGTCATGTGCTTTTATAGGATGCAAATGAGCGACTAGAAGAAAAAAGGTGAAATTAAACGACCAATAATATTTAAAACCTACCAGAATATATTTAAAACTCGTTAGTTCAAGAAGAGTATTCATCACAATTTATTATCAAAAATATTGTTCTTACATCACAGTATTTACTAAATATTCTATTCACTCCTTCACCAATTCTATCCTGTCATCACTAGTGCAAATGTCATCCAATAATGCATCAATTTTCTGTTGTTTAAGTTTCCTGCGATAAGCGTTGCGAAAGGATGCCTGCAAAAAAAAATCAAACAACGCCTTTGCGATCCAGCAAACCACGAACTTTTAGGGCAGCACCCTTTTTCTCTTTAATAAGAGTTTTTTCTTTCAGTTCTCGGCGAAGTGACAATAACGATTTGACTTTTAGTCTAAGACTTTTCACCACTCCTTCTAACACTTGTATTTCGTCAGTATTTCTATTAAGTTCAGCGTTCATGCTAGTTAAATAATATTCTGCCAGTCCGGGATCCTGAAAATCATCCGGCCGCAACTTATCGATTTCGATACCCCTATACCGAAAAATAAGCACCAAATGTAGCAACATTTAAACCTACTTTAATAACCTTTGAACAAATGCGAAACAAAAAAAACTTACTTACGTTAGTTTCGGAATGTGGTACATTCTATCAAGATTGGACGCTACATTTTCTTCTCTAAAAAATGCATTGAGTAATAATATAGTGCTATAACATCAATATTAGCGAAAGATTATTGGCATTAACTAATAGTCAAGTGATATCACGTCAACATTAGGATAAGGTTTCCTATATTGAACGACCTTCCAAAAACCAGAAGTTTAAAATTAATCATTTACATCAATCTTTCGAACCAATACAAAACTTTTGACAACCTTTGGAAATGGTATAATCTAAGCAAAGCAATAACTTGATGAAACTTCCATTTCTTGAATTTAGGCTTTTATACATAACTTCTACCCAACACATTAGCTTGGACAAGCTCCTTCCAGCGAGATTAAAATTGTTTGTGTAGCCTACGAAACTTTCATCACCTCTTTTTTCTAGTAGAACAAAAATGCCGTTCACATTTTGCCTATTGTATCTTTTACTTTATTTCCTGACTGACTTCAAAAAACAGGATGCCTTATCATAAATTGGTAGTCCTATTTTCTTTCCATTATTCGCGATTTTTTATTAAAATTGTTTTTAATGTTTTGTGAGTAGAGAGTAGAGCGAGGATCACTAAAGACTGACGTCACGCGCCAAGAAACCGCATCTTAATGCTTTACTACACAGGTCACGAAAAATATTATTCGGTTCTAATGTTATCGTTAGTATGACAAAGTTAAACGGAGATTTTAAAAGCATCGAAGACGCAAATATTTTGCCATATTGCCAAACGTCGCCGTAGTTCCAATAAAATAGGGCTCATACGATTGTAGACTAGGATAACTTTTTAGTATAATTCAATTCTCATGATTTATGGTTCTTTGTGCCGTTTGCACCAAAATAAAAATGTTGATTTTATTTAAAAAAACCGGAATACGTTTAATAAAGTCAAAAAAAAAATATAAAAGAAGGTCTAAAAATAAAACTAAAACTTATTATTTTATAAAAGGTTTAAAAAGTCCATCAGTTTTGTCCAGGCAATATCCCAACCTATCATAAAATACTTGTCGAACTCTGGCCAGTGTTCCTGCAGTAACATTGCTAAAAGGACTTTTTTTTACTGTGAAGTTCAGCTAAATAATGTGCACGATCGTATGTGTGCCTTTAAATAGTGCCACTGACGTAACCCAAAAGAAAAAACCCTTTGGTGCTAGATCTGGGGACCTAGGTGGCCATTCGATTGCTCCCCTTAGGAAATGTTGCATTCAGAAAATCCTGAAGTCTGAAGTAACCCAAAAGAAAAAAACCCTTTGGTGCTAGATCTGGGGACCTAGGTGGCCATTCGATTGCTCCCCTTAGGAAATGTTGCATTCAGAAAATCCTGAAGTCTGCTAGCATTGTTGGTACCAAATTTTATGAACAGGGATATTAGGAGCCTGAACAAAGATCTAAATATTTGTTTGTATTTAAATTCCCATCAAAGGAAAAGGACCAATGGTATGGTTTCTTAAAATACCACCCCATATGTTGAGCTTTTCCGGATACTGAGTCCTTAAAGGAATGGACATGTGATTAAATTAATTAATTAAATGAAGATTAAAATTGGAATAAAAAGTTATTCGCTAAAAAATATTTAATTGGGTTGCTCATTCATTTCTCATGATCTGCTGGTAAAATTTCCTACTTGTTTCTAGACTGTACTATTACAGGGAAAGTTTACATTTGCTAAAGCAAAAACTTTCAACTGGCGACGTTCCCTTTGGTCGTTTAAGGGATGCTCAGAAACAGGTTGCTCATCAGTAAACAAAATTTTTAATTCTTCGTAAAAATGTGCAATAGGCAGGAATTAGAATATTTTCAATGCAAATCTGCCAATAATTTCTCGGGGCGAACTATGGGAGAAATACCAATTAATAATTTGTACCTTTTCGTGACCTATATATGTTGTCAGATACTTTTTGCCGCATCCCCTAGCGGATCTATTCAGCAATACAAACTTTTCTCTATTCCTGCTAAGTAATATTATATTGAACAAAGATAATCTCTACTCAGAACTATGTAAGACTACAACTTCTAAAATTATCAATGTTACTCGCTTACCATTTAGAATAACTACTTAATGATTTTTAAAAAAAGCAATGAAAATTTTTTAGCATTCATGAAATCATTACCTTAATTTTGATGGTTCCTTACCAGATCCACTGCAAATATCCAAACCATCACTTGTTTGATTGTTGTCAATTACAAATCTTGGAATTTCATCTTCATCAACTTTAATTTTTGTACCTTCATTTGGATCAGACCCAAGTGAACCGCCAGCATGTGCATCATCTGACATTTCAATTAAGTTAGAATCTGGCCACAGATCCGCTTCCACTTTAATTTTTTTCACATAATCAGTTTGATCGCATTCAACTTTTATTCCTAGATTTGTAGCACACGAACGAAAATCCATATCTTCTACTTCTACTTTCACTTTATCGTATTGAGGGGAGTCAGGCTGATCCTTCTCCACTTTCACAAAAGAGGGAAAATCCATAGGGATGTCATGCCCGCCAGCAATAGGAATTAGTTTATTATATTCAATAGTAATATCGGAGGTGTCATTACTTTCAATCTTAATTTGGGTATACTCAGTGGACTCTATAGTTGCAGCAGGCAATAACCCCATTGAATTATTTCTAGAAAACAGTATTTGTATAAGGAAGCAAACAAATCTTTTTCATACAAATTTTTTTGCAAGGTATTCAAAAATATGGACTGATTAAACATATTTAAGATCAGATTTACTCTTCAATGTGTTAAACTCTTCAGCAACTCAGCTTTAGGGTTGAATTTGTGGAATTTACCAAAACCAAATTTGGCTTAGTAAACTTGGTATGCTTTCTTTTTCTTTATTGTAAACAAGGAAACAACTAATGTCAATATACTTGGTTGGAAAAATGATAAAAACAAAGGAGAAAATAATGGGACGATAAAGGTAACTAAAATGAGCACATGCCAAAGTAAAATGAATAACATAAATAATTAAATAAATAAAAACAAGACGAAAAACTACTCAATTGTAAATTATGACAAATAGTGTTTTTTTTTTTTCATTTTAAAGAAACGTAACTTCCTTCACCAGAGGAGGGAATTGAAAAGAGTATAAAGTTTTTAAATAAAGCAGAATAAAACACAAATATAACTGTCCACAACATGTGTTTTAATCATTATATAATTAAAACTATGCACACCATTTTATCATATATTGAGACTATTTGCATTTGTTGATTAGACATTGGGAACAAAAAAGAACTATGAAACATAAACACAAATTAACAAGTAATTTAATACAGACAGGACAACAAGACAACTTCACTTTTAGAATGTTTAGAACAATATATTTTCTGTGCATTTTGCCACCTGAAACAACTAGTAACCCAATCTCAGAGTGATATAAACTTGTATTAGAAAAAATCGCGTTTTTTTAGCTAATAAAGGTAAAATAGACTAGAACACTAAAACTAAACATCTCACAAACATGATGTGTCTCATATTTATCAATTAACAAGGTTACACATTAACCAATAAAATATAATACATAGATGTTTTCCATGTTCATTTTTAGTTATTCTAGTTTGTTTTCCCATTAATGTGCCGTTGTTTTGTGTACTTCCTGAAAACTTCCATTTTTTTCTGTCTTTTCTCCAGTTCTGTGAACAAGATTGCCTACTTCATTCACTAGTTCATAAAGATGAAATTTACAAAGGTAGATAGAATATACATATACAATTGATGTCAATTAAACTTACGTGTTAGAGGATGTGCTACTGGCACAGGTTGGCTTGGGGGTCGCATCTGGTCTAAGTTTTCTACTTCCCCGGTTTGTATAAAAAAAATGACTAGGATCAAAATGATCAGAGCAAAGCATTAATGTTTTTCTTGGCATAGACTCTATGCCAATTAAGTTCAGCCAGATATTTCGTTTATCTTGATTTGTTGGAAAACTAAAAAAGAACATTGACAATAAAAACAAATTCTACATCTATGTGAAGAAAATTCAAACAAAAATAACTAAACAAAGAGAAACAAATTCTTCACTGTGTCTGCTTCACTTTACAAGTAAGCATTCCATAGCATTACCTGTGGAAAGAGATGATTTCCCCATTAACTTCAGTGTCTTCTCGTTTATCACATAAACAACATTTTCTCCACTTCGTCATTGTCTATAATTTGTGAGATATAAAATAAACCTCAAAACCCCCAATTAACCCGAAGAGTGTACCAAGACCGGAATCGCAATTGCCTGTAAATAATAATTACAGTAAACAATCAAAATCACAGAATAATAATTCAAAAATAAACAAAAGCATATGCTATTCTGTGCGCCAACTATTCTTTGATTGAGAAAATAATTGAAAACTTGTGTTCCGTTTTGGTCCTAATTATAAATATATTCACCAAAAGAAAAAGGTTTATCATCTCGTTTTATTATTCAATACGCTTATAAGAAGCATAGATAAAAATCAAAAGGTTAATCCGCTGATGTTTTGGTTGTATGTTGTATGTGGCTTCAAGTTCAAGTTCAAGTATGCGTTTCACAAAAAAATGTTGGGCTCGACTGCTAGGATCATTCGCCCATTGCCGACTTCCGTCGAGGATCTTCGCTTTTGGTCATTGACCAACACGTACAAAGAAGACATATAACCAATATTTGCTCAACTAGCAAAAAAACAAATTTGACCGATACCAAAAAAAACCGACACCCCCCGCTCCTACCGCGGACCATCCGGGCCCATCCGGCCTCCATACCGGCGTGAACGGGGAAAAACGACGGGGCCGACGACGATTATAACTTTAAAACATGCACTGAACACTAACAACACTAAGTCCACACAGTGGAAACCGATATCAAACTTTTGAGGACGAATACAAGGGATTCTGTCGGGAGCGAACGGAGGTTAAACCGCCTCGTGCAATGCTCCACCACAGAATCCTTGTATGTGGCTTATTTCGACCTAGACATGTGCTTCGCTACAGAACTATCGAACAACTTCGACGAACGTCACTTGTGGGCGAATAATCATGGTGATGTTGCTTAACGTTCTGTTGAACGAGAAAGTAGAAGAAGTAGATCTATGGGACAATTTGTGATTTTTAAATTTGATCCAAAATAACGGTTACAGGCAGCAAAGTGGAAATAGACTTGTTTTGTTTTCATATTTATTAAAATTAATATTTTTTACTTCTAATTTGAACATGAGCAGCACATCGAAAAGTATTGACAAATTAGTCGACAAACATTTACAAAAATTAAAGATTCCCGACGGATTCGAAAAACCGACGAGGGAGTTGGTCAAAAATATGATGCAGCATCCCGCTTATAATAATCCCAGGTATGGTTAGGTAATTAAGCAAATTTTTAACTAATGCGTTCTTTGTTTAGTTACAATTGGTCTTTGAACGATTTTGAACTTGGCAAACGCCTTGGCAGAGGAAAGTTTGGGCGGGTCTTTATCGCAAGAGAAAAAAGGACTGGTTATCTGGTTGCATTAAAAACTTTAGTAAAGAAGGAGATAGTAAAGGGAAGAGTAGAAAGACTCACAATGAGGGAAATTGAAATTCAAAGTCATTTAAAGTAAAATCATCATTTGTATACATAAAATACAAGTGACTAAAGTAAATATTTTTAGGCATCCAAATATTCTACAACTGCTTGCTTGGTTCCACGATTCACATAGAATTTACATTATTTTAGAATTTGCAGGGAAAGGTGAACTTTACCGTCATCTGAAGTCTTCACCCGGCGGAAGATTTAGTGAATCTATGTAAGTAACAATGATTAGATTATTGATATGAAAACAAATTCTATTCTGGGGTAAAACTCTGCAATATCATATTTAATTTAATTTTAAAAGGATTTTGCACTGGACCTTAAGTTCATTTCTTTGCAAATCATGTATCAGTATTATTGTGTCCTATTAAAGTGCGGAACACAAATTTCTTTATAAAGGCAATACTAAAAACAATGATATGATCATTTGAAAATATCTTGTTCTAATGAATTTCAATCACTATTTTCCATTCTACTCCATTGATGAATGACTTGTTGGGTTTGCTACATCATTTGTGTTGGTATTTTATTTAGCAGCCATTTGGAGGTTAACATTATTTTTTCTCTTTACACAATATATAAATAAAGGAGTGCTTAGGAAATTTTATCTACCTGTTGCCAACCATATTTTTTCTAGGACCGCCAGTTTTGGTCTTAACATTTATTTTGTTCTAGATCAGCAAAATATATATATCAAGTGGCTGACGCTTTGGAATATTGCCATCAGAATCAAGTGATACACAGAGATATCAAACCTGAGAATTTATTGTTGACAATAACAAATGACGTTAAACTAGCAGATTTTGGCTGGTCGGTTCACTCACCATCAATGCACCGTAATACCCTGTGCGGAACATTGGATTATTTACCTCCTGAGATGGTTGATGGCAAAGATTACAGGCACCACGTTGACAACTGGTGTTTAGGCAAGTACCCATATCTGGTTCATTAATTATTTAACTAGTCAACTTTGATTTCTGCTTAAGGAATATTATGTTATGAATTTCTTCATGGATATCCTCCATTTGAGGGAAAGGATCAGGAGGACACTCATCAGCGAATCAAATCAGGAAACTTGAAGTTTGCAGATTTTATCTCAGATGGAGCACACAATTTAATAACAAATGTAGGTAGAGATAATTTTGTTTAAAAAATGACCATAACATTTTTTGCAGCTTGTAGTACTTAAAGGTGAGAAAAGAATGTCTTTAGTGAAGGTCATGAAACACCCCTGGGTAATAAACCACAAAAAAGAAGCCAAGGGAAATTAAACATTCTAAAAGGTAGACTTTGTCAGCTCTTAAACAATTGTAATGCAATTTTATTTTTATATTTTAGTATGATTTTTTTTTGTTTTTGTATTTGTATTTGTATTTAATATTTAGGAAATTAATTTATGTATTAATAAGAAAGTTGAAAAAATATTTTCTACATGCCAAGACTTTTCATCATTACTTTTATATCATCTTATTTACTTAAGGGATTTTAATTTTTAAAAATTGTCAGGCTGAATTTGATTGGTCATTTCTATAATGTCGTTTTATTGATTATTCTATGGTAAATACGCAAAATAGTCCTTTGTTTTATAAAATTAACGGACCTTGTTAGTTTTTGTAATTAAAAATTTATTGATAAAACTAGAACTTAAAACTTTCAATTACATTTGGTTTTCATCTCGCAGAGATGGTTTTCGTTTTAAGACAAACCAAAATGCCATAAAATCAGTCAGTACTCTGTTTGCCAAGCAAAAAACTTTAGGAATTTATTACCACATATATACCTTTATTGGTTTTTTATATTTTTCTATATGCAAACACATTCATTTTGTAGTTATTTTTGGTCCAAATAACATAAATTGTCAGAATCTGAATAAATAGTCTTTGATAAAGGTCATTTTTTAAACTGTATTGTTTCTAAGTACAATGAACAAATTGCAAAGTACTGACAAAATATGATGATGCAGTAATTTTGAAAGTCATTTAGATATAATTGGCAACTTACTCCAAAGGAACCTGTAAATATAAAAAAAAAGAAAAACTTCAGATTTTTTCGTCCCAGAAAAAAAAACAATGTAACAAGGCAGGTGCTTAAGGAAGCTGGATTTAAAAAGTAATTGAAAGCAACTACATGTTTCATCTAATTCTTCATTGAATCATAATTATTTAAATAAACCCTTTTTCTGAGTTGTATACAAAATTTTCTAAATCTTATAAAGTTTATATGATAATATCGTCTTTTTTTTTCTAGTTTTTAGATTTTGTAATTATAGTAAAAAAGTACAACAAACAACGCTTTTGCTGCAAATACAATAAAAATAATTCTTTGAATTAATGGAAATATCGGGGCCTTCACAACAGTCTATTCTATACGGTTTTTAAAAATGGCGCCGCCTGCCATTGTCAACTGTCAGGACACACAACATCCCAAATACACAGCATACAACAACCACATAGTAATCTTTGCCACCAATATGAAGTAACAATATTTTATGAGCTTTTGGCCAAGGGCACTCGTCTCTTCCAGCAAGCCCATTATATTGATCATTTTGTCAACTACCACGTATGCCACTAGTACACTAGCACATAAAACGCTTCTGGTTTTACTAAGCCGAAATGGTAATCACGCCCGATATCGATAGGAAATATTCCTTGTGCGTTATGTGCATTTTTTAGTGGTCTGTAATTTCAAGATTTTTGTAGGTTATGTTTGTTTCCCGTAAATGTGAAACCATCGTATCGAGTGCTGGTGGTTAAAATGGAACAACAGAATTTGAAAGACCCTGTGTGTGATTGTCTTTTCTGACATTAAAAATTAAATGATATTTATAAACCTTCAAAAATTATTTAATACTTTCTCTTAAAATAAATTTCGTTAATGCTGTAAAATGAACTATGAGCATATACTATGCTTGTGATAATTGGTGATATTATAATATCCCCATTTCGTAAGAATGGCAACGTAAATAAGAAGTATTGAAAATGACAACCGAATGGGGTGAACTATTTCCTTCAACGGGTAGTGGAATTATATTTGTTGTTTATGTATTATTGTTTGTTAACCAAGGTAAGAAAACAATACCTATTATTATGAGCATTAGTTTACTTTTAATTAGAAACACGACTTTCAGAAATTTTTAAATTATTTTTATATTCGTTATAACTAATCTTTTTGAATCATAATACAATATTCTTAGTTATAAGTAATGATATTGGCAGTTTTGTAACAAATGAGCACTAGAAAAACTTAAAATTATAATTATAAGAGCCAATTTTTCGTTTTTTAATTGCTCAGAAAAAAGATTAAGTTACCTTAGTAATAAAAACTGCATATATCATGAAGGTGACATTGCGCAGGGATTTTGGATTAAAATTACTCAAATAAAGTATTACTTGTGTTGACTCTGGATGTATGTTTAAATTTGTTTATTAAGAGATTAATATCACTTTGAACTGAATTATCCCGTTTAAAATAAAATAAAAAACCCAAAAAAAGGTAATGAAACTTTTTTCAATGATTAAGGAGGATCTTTTTTTATTTCCATTACTAACAGAATAATTTATTTTTAGAAAATATAGATTTATTGACTTTGAATATATAGAATCTAAACATTTTGTAAGGGTAAGGAGATGTCCATTATTTCGCATGATTTATTATTTATTTATGTTATGCACAAACAGTAACTAATAGAATTTAGAATTATAGAACAAGTCTGAGAAGTGTACAGGAATTTATAGAAAAACAACGCAGGATAATTCAAATTCAATCCCCCCCCCCCCTATTTTGGATCTTTTTATTCATTGGCACTTTGTTTCGACTCAACACAAGAAGGTTAGAATTAAAATGAATTCGAAAAAAGCTGCAAAAATAATGTTGCGCCAAAATCCTAGTTAGGTTTTGCCCATGAACTTCCCTTATTGTTCCCACATATTGTTGATCCATAGTAAACTCATTGAAGGAATCACTAAGTAGGTTTTTATTTTTAGGAATTTTGGTAACTGCATCGCAAGAGGCTAATAACAAATATGATTACAATATTGTAACTGTGGTTCTGTTGACTGAGGCTCTTAAATTAATTATCTCATCAATATTATACTGTCATAAGTGAGAATGTTATGTAACTGCTTCCTGTTAGACCTTGTTGCATTAATTATTTTTGCAGACATAGACCTCTACAACTTATTAATGAATTATTCGAACATTGGAAAGTATTATTGCTCTATATGGTACCTGCATTTTTATATTGCCTATATAATAATTTATCATTTATCAATCTATCATCTTTTGATCCTACCACCTACTATCTTTTGCTACAGCTAAGAGTTGTTGTAACTGGTATACTTTTTCAGGTAAATATGCCATTAGTACTTTCTCATATAATGCAATACGTAAACAGTTTCACTTATTCACTTTCACGGAGCACTTTTTATATTATTGCCAAGAAAAGTGATTAATTAATTAATAATAACACGAATAATTATTTTTTAGGTTATATTTAATAAATATCTCAGCAGGAAACAATGGCTCTCTTTAGTCATTCTAACAGCGGGATGTATGTTACAGCAGATGAATTTCAGTGGATCCCACGATGGCAAATCGCAATCTTTAGGGTTATCTATAAACGCGGTATTTATTTTTATTCAAATTTTCTGTTCTTGTTTTGCGGGTGTATATAATGAATATTTGCTTAAGAGAAAAGGTGCCAGCGTCAATATTTTTGTACAAAACGTTTTCATGTACTTAGACTCGATAGTATGCAATATATTGTTGTTAATTTTAAATGGATCATTCGAAAACGCATTTCTGTATGATAACATTGAAAAAGTGTTCCATTTGAAGGTGCTTATTGTAATGTTTAATAACGCCGCTGTCGGAATAGTAACCAGTTTTTTCTTAAAAACCCTAAATTCGATATTGAAAACGTTCGCTAGCGCATTGGAACTAGTCCTAACGGCCATATTTTCTTATATATTTTTTAGAATTCCGGTTCACTTAAATACGATTCTTGCCATTGCGACTGTGATGTACGCGATATATTTATATTCGCAAAATCCCGTATCTAATGTACAAAAAGATGTTAAAAATTCGGATAAAGTTGAAATTTTGCAAATGGAGGAAGTGTGATAAAAAATTCCTTAACCTCTGTGATTTTAATTAGAGTGATAAGTTCTGTTTAAAATATTTCGCCTATTGTGATATATAATAAATTGACATAACCTATAAAAAGTTGTTTCGTTTGTTTATAAATCGGTTTTGTGGAAATCGTTTGCCCACCGGTATTTGGTAATAAACAAATAGCACTTTGCATTTGGTTCTGATAACCGCAAGTTAGAAACACACTCACAGTTTGTAACCTATTTTTCTTTTATGTATTCGCAGAGATATACACATGCTAATAAAAAAAACATTTATTTTCTAACAATAAAGTACACTTAAAAAATCAGTTATAATATTATCAACACTTAACGAAACAACCTACGTGATAACATTGTAATTGCTAATTTACTGTTTCCACTGGCCTGGCTCTAGCAAACCAAAACAGGTTTAGAGAGTCTCTAGGAACTTTTTTTAAATGTGTTGTCCTATCTAGTCAGAAATTATTCTAATCTTTTAAAAAATAAGTAAGTATATTACACGTACACTAGAGGTGTGTCGAGTTTTCAGTGTCACTAATCGTGATGATAACTGATGATTAAAAATTCTGATTACAGGAATTTGTTGTTTTACTGGATAAACTGACAATAATTTAAAAGATTTTAACTTTTTTTGTGTTATACTGAAAACAAATATTGTTAATATCATTCGAGTACTTTAAAAAATATATTTATTTGTCTTTGCGTTTTTAATAATAAGTACTAAAGGTACCCACCCAATGTACGTCACATACTTAGATATATAGGTCTATAGAATGTGCGAAGTATATTCGTATTGACATTTGTAATTACGTATTCTACCGGGTGGAAAAGTCTTCTACATGAAATACATTTGGGAAGGAATAAAATAATCATGATTCTACTACTACTACCAAACAACTGACTGAGGTTCTTCCTTGAACCTAAGTAAAACAAAAAATTGTAAAATTTTAGTTTTGTTATAAAATGTTATGAATTGACTAGACTTTATCGGGCATAACAACTAACCAATATAGTGATAATAGTTTGTCTGTGGTGGCAATCTCAGTTTTGTCTGAGACGCGTATATATTCGCGGCATGTGTTTCAAAATGGAAGGTATTTTTAAGTTTTTGCTTGTTGAAGGTAGGAAGGTGTTTTTTCATGTAAGTTATACCTTGCAAGTTAAACAGATCATGACCATCATTGTCAAATATTACCTGTGATACCTAGTTATTCAATAAACCTATTGTCTGAGTAGGTGCATGTCGTAATTTATGTAATTTTTGGTGATGAGAACGATGTTCATATTGTAAAATACTGGCTGTGTTAAACTTGGTCATACAATATGAGATAATCAGTTGAAATCTGGAAACTTGAGGGGATATGAAGGAATTTAAACCATTTTCATTGCATTTCTTCCAAAATCTAAAACAGAATTTAAAAATGTTCATTTTCAATGAACATAAATGAAACTAATTAAAATTTTATTGGGCAACTTTTTGTTGTCTGGACAAATTTTATGGGCAGGTTTCTTTTTTTATTGAACAATTATCAACGTTTTCCTAAATGAAGTTTGATTAACATTTTAAAAAGTAAATAAATTGCAACAATGAATTATTTTAACTTTTGCAAAATATCTGAATATACAAGAGATAAAATTACTAATTGATTCAACGCCACAATTTTTTTTTTTGAAGATCTTCTATTTTGTTTGAGTTCTCAGGATCTAAATATGTTCCTAAGCTAAATTCTGCAGAGTGTACCAAGCGAATAAATAGAATATTAAGTTAAGGATTAGTACATTCTAAAAAACTGTGCAATATAAATAACTCACATTCTAAGTATATTCTTCTTCTAAAACAAAGTATTCATACAATTGTATGTGGATATTGTTATTACTATCTAGTTTGGAACCAGTACTTATGATCGGTATTTGTATTCAGTACCGAAAGGTATCTGTAATGATTTCAAGAAAGTAATCATTTACACCACCACTAATGTACGTGCCACACCGACGAACTATGGTGGCTTTTGGTTAGTTTGATTTTATTTACGTATTTACCCGTCAGCTAATTGCCGCTAATATTACTGATTCTGTTTAACAATTTTTGTAGCGTAATATACTATTTTATTCGAAAGTTCTGCGGTCATTCTATACTTTAATGTCAAATAAGCAGTTATCCTAAAGAACACCATAAAAGCTAAAATGTAAAGCAATTGGTACTTATAATCTTCGCCTTCCATCCCCATGTCCTTGAGCATCAGCTAAAATATAACGCAGTGAATTCTTTGATCTCTATACATCATAAAAATACAAGGATGGGTACCTCGGGATTTCTGTAATGACAGTATATCTCGTCGCAGTCCATGGAATGTCTGTCGGTAAATAGGTTGCTGGTGAGTCCTACTACTCCATATCTCAAGTAACTAAATCCCATCAAAACCTTCATGAATGGTTCAATTGCTGATCTGTAACCCATCCCGTAACACGCCAGTGCCAATAACGGTGCCAGAGTCGACGGTCCTACTACCGATCCGTTCTAAATATGATTCGTTAATTTTTGACTTCCTTCTGCCTGTGGCAGTTTTTCGTAAAACTTTGAACGCAGCAAACACAATTATGCGAAATTATTTCGTTCCCGACGTATAGGACCAAATAGGAATTTTGCGCCATTTGGAGTGTTTTCATATTTCTGACATCCTGTAAGATAGAGTAGAAGGTAAAAACTGGCATAAATGTTTTTACGTAGACTCCAGTGGTGTAGTCAACACTATGCCACTCTCAACTTGATTAACTTAACACATTAGTGCCCGTTGACGTATTAATACGTTTTTTTCATCCAAAATCTTGTAGCCGTTGACGTAGTAATACGTCATTAATTGTGACAAATCTAGGTGCCGTGGACGTAGTGGTACGTTATTTTTGGTTGTAAATCTAGGCGCCGTTGACGTAGTAGTACGTTTTTTGTTGTCATAGTAAATGTCACATTATAACTGATAATTTAAGAGTTAGCTTGTGTTCTGCAATAATTAACTTACGAATTGACTGATTAATTAAGTAATTTATATATTAATTTAATTGTTTGCCCTGCGATATCATGGAAGAAGACGACTTTGAATTAATTAATAAATGTAATGAGGTATGTGCCGATATATTATCTGAGTTTGAAAATGATGAAGAATGTAACAGCGACGATACAGATTTAGCAGAAAGTAGCAGAAAAAGAAATGTTTTGCCAATTATAAGTGAATCTGAAAGCAGCGATTCAGAAGACACGATATTGGAAAACGAACAGAACTGTTCAACATCAAATTGGTCCCAAATCGATAACGATATTACAGTAAACCCATTTTTGGGAAATTCTGGGGTTAAAGTGTTCCCAAGAAATGCAGAAAATATTTCAGACGTGGTGGATTTGTTTATAGATGATGATTTTTTTCAATTATTAGTAACAGAGACAAATAGATATTATATGCAAAACATGCATAAATATAAACGTGTAAAAAGCACAAAGCAGTGGCGAGATACCACGATAACAGAAATCAAGAAATTTTTAGCTTTGAATATATTGATGGGACAAGTAAAAAAAAATAATGTTAACGATTATTGGACTACTGATCCGTACATGGAAACACCAATTTTTGGTAAAATCATGACTAGAAATAGATTCAGGCAAATACTACAATCACTACATTTTTGCGATAATAGTGCAATCCCTGATGACGCAAGTCGACTTGTTAAAGTAGAATCAATAATGCAATACTTTATAGAGAAGTTTGATAAAGTCTATAAACCAAAACAAAATCTATCGTTGGATGAAGCCATGATTCCTTGCAGAGGTAGAGTAAGTTTCCGAGTGTACAACCCAGGAAAGATTACAAAGTATGGGTTATTAGTGAGAATGTTGTGTGAATCCGACACTGGATATATATGCAAATTTAAATTATATAGTGGCAATGGAGAAACATTGCAAAACCTGGTCGTAAACCTTTTAGATGGTTATGGAAATATTTGGCACCATGTTTACATGGACAATTACTACAACAGTGTTCAGTTAGCACAGAAGTTACTCTACAAAAAGATAAGAATTTGTGGAACTATAAGAGAGAACCGCGGGCTACCACACGATCTAAAAAAAATTACTTTAAAACAAGGACAACACAACTTCCGTAGAAAAGGTGAAATTCTAATACATATTTGGAAAGATAAAAGAGTTGTAAGAATGATTTCAACAATACACCAGGCTCGAATGATACAAACCCAGAAAATAAATCGAAAAACTGGCGATCTGATACAAAAACCAGAAACAATTTTGGAATATAATAAGTACATGAAGGGAGTTGATATAGCAGACCAATACCTTGCTTATAATCCTATTATAAGAAAAACTGTGAAATGGACAAAGAAGGCTTTTATGTTCATATTAAATACTGCACTGTTCAATTCATTTGTTGTCTTCAAGGTTCTGAATCCAGGAAAAAAAATAAAATTTTCATCTTTTTTGAAAAATATTGCGCAAAACTGGATTGAAAAAGGATATGTTCATTCAGAGAGTCCAGGAAATGTATCCAAGAGAGTTTCTCGCGAAGATGCACCAATGAGACTTTCTGCAGACATGAGACAACATAAAATTGTGAAAATTACTAGTTCAGGCAATAAGAAGTTTCCTCAAAAGCGCTGCAGAGTTTGCAAAAAAAACGGAAAAAGGAAGGAAACCTGTTTCATGTGCTCATATTGTGTAATTCCTTTATGTATGGGAAAATGTTTTGAGGATTATCACACAAAAAAAAATTATTAAATCTAAATAATAAATCAATATATAATAAAAATAATTTTTGTTGGTATTTTTTTCTTGTTTTTTTTAAGATTAAATATTTTAAAATCTATTAATCGAAACACTGCACAGAACTATATTTCTATCCATCTTAGCAACCGAGTGAACTATTTTATCATACTACAAAAACCTAAAATTGAGAAATATGTAGCATTGAAATCAAATAGCCCTAATATTATATCCTACTTTAAAATAAAATATGCCGGCTCTCAGCTATAACAACATCACTGAGCATTTTTTTTGTGGGAGGCACTCCCTCCCTATGGGACCGACCTCGGATCCGACCGCGTCAGGCGAAAGCCCCGTCCTCCCTTTACTTAAAAAAAATTCGGCGCCCCTCCCGGTCCCATAGGGCGGGAGGGGGAATTTTTCGAAAGGGACGCCGCCGAAAAATTTTCAAAAATTTTTTTGAGGAGGGAGGAGGAGGGAGGTCGGGTACTTCCTCCCCCGACCTCCTCCAGAACTTTACCGAGTTGGGTCCCGATCGGAACGACGGTCTCGGAGATAGCAAACTTTTTGACCTTTGACCTCCTCAAAACCTCAACAAAAAAATTCGCCAATTGTCGATCTCGGGCTCGACGCGTGGCCTGAGTATAGGGCTTTCGGGGCGTCCGGGTCGGGTCCGCCCCCGACCTCAAATACTCAAAAATCCGACGCTACCTCAATATTGAGGAATTTTTGAGGAGGTAGGGCAAGGCGGCGCTCGACGCCCCTCCGCGACCTCACTCACGCCCCGAGGTCGGAATTTTCGATTTCCGATTTTGGGAAAGTGAAAAACGCGGTCCTTTTTTTTGATCCCCCCTTGTCGCCCCCCGTTTGGGAGGAGATCGGGGAGGAGGGTATCGTAAGAAAGGCCGTTCCTTCGACCACCTCCCGTATCGATCCGAACCCGGCCGGACCTAACGCGACCTTAATCGACGCGTTCAACGACAACATTGAAAAAGGTCATATTTTTGAGTTTTTGAGGTAGGAGATTTTTGAGGGCGGATCCGGCGTTTCCGACCCGAGAAACCCCCCCGTGCCGGTTTCGAAGCGATTCGGCCGGTAAACCTCGGAGATAGCAAACTTTTTGAACTTTGAGGAGGCGCCCTCAAAAAAAACTCCACAGACGGGTATAGGACATGGGCCTTCAGAACGACGCCCGGGTATAGGCGCGTCGACGTAGGTACTCGAATTTTCGATCCGTCCCATAGGAGACGAGACCCTCCCTAACCTCAATACCTCCTCAATTTTGAGGGGCGTCCTTTTTGAGGGTTCCGGTGCGCCTCGGGCCCCTCTACGCGAATATACCGTCCGCGCCCCGATCCGACCTCAAATAACTCCGAAAACCTCGAAAAACCGAAAAAGGGCTACCTCCTCAAAAGCGATTTTTTGAGGTCGCTTCCTCCTCGAGATTTTTTTCTGAATTCGATGGCGAGAACCCCGACCCCCCAGGTCGTACCGTTTCCGAGATAGCCCCCCCGACTTCGCCCCCCTGCCCCCCATCGAAAAAATAAAACCGGTTTTTTCAATTGAAATCAAATAGCCCTAATATTATATCCTACTTTAAAATAAAATATGCCGGCTCTCAGCTATAACAACATCACTGAGCATTGACGGTATTCGGTAGTTAGGTATCAGGACAATGTTTCGGCAAGCGCCGTACGTAATTAGGATTTCTAAACGGCCGGTATAGTGTTAATAATCTTGATAAGCAAATTCCACATGACTGAAAAAACTCTCAAACGCGCAATTGCCACACAGTGCGCGTTCGTCGAGCATTCATCATTATCATAGTAAATATAAGTTCAGATATTCACGAAATTATATATTTTTGACATGACAATTGTTTCGACAAATCAAAAAATGACCATAAAACATTAATTAATGTTGTTGAGAGAATTTAAGTTCAATAAAGGAGAGGTATTTAAATCTAATTGACCGTTAAGCAATACATTTGAATGTCTCATCTTGTTAATCTCCATGGCTTCCAATACATTTAATTTTCTACTTTTTGTAGCTGTATGTAAAATATCAAAATTGTCGTCAAAAATGTGTTTTTCTGTGTTTAAGTGTGTAGCATAATTAGAATCTAGACTATTGTTTTTAAACGCTCTTTTATGTTCGATAATGCGTTTCTTGAAGGATCTACCTGTTTGTCCAATATACATTTTAGGACAAGATCCACATTTCAACCTGTAGACACCTGATTTTTGGGATTTTGGACATTTCGTTTTATTGTTTTTTTAAATATTTTCCTATTGTGTTGTTAGTTCTGAAAGCTAATTTTAAACCACATTTTGACAAATATTTTGAAACTTTTTCACTAGGTTCTCCTATGTATGTAATTGTTTTAAATTGTTCGTGTTCTGTATTAGGTTTCGGATAAATAGAGTTTACTGTTGTCTGTATTTGTTTTTTATTTATAATTTTATCTATAATGGACGGATTGTAGCCGTTGTTCAGTGCAATTTGTTTAATGATATTAATTAATTAAAATCATACCTCAACCACCATATTCACCAGATACAGCCCCCTGCGACTTTTTCCTGTTCCCAAAACTCACAAAACCCATGAAGGGAAGGAGGTTTGGAACGATTGAGGAGATAAAGAAAAAATCGCTGGAAGAACTCAAGGCTATACCAGAAAGTGCTTACCAAAAGTACTTCGAGGATTGGAAAAAATGTTGGCACATATCTGGGGGAGATTACTTTCAAGGGGGCAACATTAATTTTCATGAATAAATAAATATTTTTTGATAAAACTTAAAAGTCTCTTTACTTTTTGAACACACCTCGTACGTGTCAAGCATTTTATGAAATTCTATACTGCGTTTGACGGTTCAGTTCTTATTTTTCGTAGTAACAAACGTCGGCGGGATATAGTTTACTGTTTAAAGTTAAAGTCTTTTGATTACAGAAAACTGAGGCTAACTAATAGTCAATACTATTATCAGGAATTCTGTACGATGAACAGACATATAAAATCTGAAGAAGTACTTCTAGGATACCAATCCCGCTTGGATTTAATAGTGAAACTGTTGACACCCCTCAGGTCATCGTTGATTATTTGCAGAGTATTTCAGTAGTGTTTATAGTCCTAAAAGTGACATCACCTTCCCACGAACTTGTACGTCGAGACGGTCAATTCATTTTGATAGCTTTACGGAGGAAGAGCTATTGAGAGAGTTGTGACCTATGCGGAATAAACTTGCAGACAGGGTTCCGGGCTTTATTGTTAGGGATAGCGCTCAAAATTTCGTCTTCTCTCTATTTCTAACAGGATTATAAAATGCTGTACTGTTCCAGAATGCTGAAAGTTGACTAGAGTCTTTCCCGTAATGAAAAATGGCTACCAACCCGGTCATATTAAAAATTATCAGCCAATTACGATCCTATCAACCTTTGCTTAAGCCTTTGAAAAACTGATTTGTGCTCACTGGCTCGTCACATTAAACTTCTTTCGCTTAATCAACAGGACGATCTATTACTTCCAACTGACGCAGTATATTGCAGAATCGCTCGACAGGAGAATTCAGTTTAATGTAGTGTATTTGGATGTAGCTTAGGCTTTTGACCGCATTGACCATTCCATGTTGGTTTAAGATGTCGTCGGAAGAAGACAATATTGCACTGATTGCTGCTGTGATTGCAAGGAGGAAGAGGAAGAAGAAAAGAAAAGTGTGGATTCATCCGTATTTAAAAGATAATGCTGATATACATAGCCCATTTATTGTATCGCAGCAGCTACAAGTTCATCCTCAAAAATTTCAAAACTTCTACAGGATGGAAAAGGAAAGGCCATTTTTCAAATGATTTAAAATAACGAACTTAGAAAAGTATTTCCCAGCAACTTGGTTCCACGCTTTATCTTGTTCACATCTGATGCTATACGCCTTTAAAGTGTGATCATACAGACATGGGTACATCTCGATAGTCTGAACAAAGCCTATATTAAATTGTTCATCGTCTAGTAAACATTTGTTGCTAGACATCACGAAAAAAAACAACCAGAAATTTGGTCGCGAAGTCAAAACAATGTCTGCACGGCTTGGAAGCAAGTCGCAAAGTATCAAAATTATAGGACTTCGTTTTATATTCGAGTCTCACGCTGCATGTTGCGAAGTCGCATGTTTGCGGCGCTTTTTCGGTGTGAAACCATCAATACATTTGTATAGGTTTTAAAACAAGTAGCATGCTTCCTGCCAGCAAGTCGCACGTCGCAAGTTACTTTGGTGTGAAAGCCCACTAATGTTTATAAGTGGTGTGAGCAAAATAATTTTAGATCAAAGCTTGAATATGCTTCCGTAATCTGGGTACCAATTTATTTAACTCATATTCGGTCTCTCGAGTATGTTCAAAGACGTTTTGTAAAGTTTCTTGCTTTTAGAGTGGATGATGGCTACCCAGACAGGGATGTTCATGGTGAAATTTTGTCGATATTCAAATCTTGGATCACGGCTGGTCTAGTATTTTTATATAGACGTTCAGCTTAAGAATTCCTGAACCAATTTATGGGCTTAACATTCATCTAAATGCCTAATTTATGTGTATATTGTGTTATTGTATTTTTCTTTTTCTCTTTTTTTCCTTCTCGTTTCTTATATATAGGTTGCGTTTCAGTGTATTCTAATTCTCTATTGTGATTGTTTTATTACAAATTGTCCTGTAATTTGTGTGAGCTGTTGGGCAATAAAATCCCTTATTATTATTTATTATTATTATCAGCTCTATCCCGAGTAGCTATATGGTCGGACCATACAACAAGAAACCCTAGTAGATTTTCTTAGACATTTAAACTCGATACACCATAACATACGTTTTACCATTGAGTTGGAAGCTAATAATAACCTGCCATTCTTAGATATTCTTATCAATAGAAAATCAGACCTAACATTGGGTCATTGTGTATACAGAAAACCTACGCACACAGGTCGATACCTGCATGGTCACATCACACATCAAAATCATCGGTTATCAACTCTCTTGTTTACAGATCCGTAAAACTATCTCAGCCCGTGTCACTGAAAACAGAATTAAAACACCTTACCTCTGCTCTTCTCTCCAATAATTTTCACATTAAAGATAAACGTGCCATCAAAAAATACACTTCACCACAACGTTCCAATAGCAATGAGGCCGACAACAATCGCACACTTTCCACTGTTGTCCTTCCTTACATTCAAAACATCACTGACCACATATCAACAGTTCTAAAGAGTATAACGTCAAAACCAGATTTACCACTTGTCCAAAAATCTCTCAACATCTGCGGTCCGTCAAAGACAAAATTCCATTTGAAACGCCAGCAGTTTACAGCACTCCATGCATATGCGGAAAAGAATTGGAGAGACCGGACGAAAAATATTAACTAGGCTCAAAGAACACGAAAGAGCCTTACGTCTAAGACAAATAAACTCATCAGCTGATGCCGAACATACTCATGAAACCGGGCATAAAATTTTATTTGATAAAACTAAAATTCTTGCATGTAATCAGTTCTTCTACCAACGAAAAATCCGAGAGTCTATAGACATCTATAAACAACCTAACAATCTTAATCGCGACTCAGGTCTCTACCTGTCACCAATTTGGGAATAAGTCATCCGAGACGGTTTTATAACCCTCATTAGCGCCCCCCCCCCCCCTCACACAATATATAAGCAGGTACAGAGTTAAATACGACCCAGTTTCAGTCAAGTCCTGAAGAAGCCAACAGGATGGTTGGCGAAATGTCAGCAATTTCGACTAAGCAAAAACCGACGCAGGAGGAATCCAGAAGTTTTGTAAAAAGCATGATTACTTCTAGCAAATGTTAGATCCTGTTCTTTGTAAGTCTATTATAGTCATGGGTAATGCCAGCTGCCACTTAAGAAAATCCGAAAAATCATTTTGTTGAAATAGAAGAACGGAAGCTGATGACTTCAACAACTATATAGTTTATCGTACTAACAAGAACATGACCAAAATTTACAAATGAAGTTGTATTGTAAATAATAGATTTTTAAATAACATTATTACATTATTTATAAATTACATTTATTACAATGTATCTATTTTCATATCACTCTTAATTCTCTATAAGTTACTATTTACAAATGTTCTGGAGTCCTGCGTCTGTTGTTGATGAATCGAACTTGCTGACGTTTCGCCCATCATATTGCTTCTTCAGAGCTTAACTGAAACTGAAGATGCTAACAGGATGATTGGCGAAACGTCGGCAACCTCAGTTCATCAACAACCGACTCAGGAGGAATCCCGAAAATTTGTAAATAGTATTATAGAGTTGCATGTGGAAGTTTCTTTGAAACATTTTCTATATAAATTGTTATGTTCTTCATCTCGGCTTTCTATTATATGCAAATTGGTGTGACTTAAAAACTGAAATACGGAATTTAAAACACCATGATTGCAATTTATCTGAACTTAAACGATTAATCTGTTAAGTTGGTCATCCTGTTTCATGACCCCTGTCATTGCAAATTTATGTTTTATTATTGGCAACTAGGTGTAACTAAGATGCATTTTTAATTTTGATTGTGGACACTTTAATAACAGTTAGTCTACATTAGAAGCTCGATAGATCAGTTTAAAGAGAAACATTTTTTGGGACCCAAAAATACAGGGTGTTTTAAAAAATATTATGCTTGGGATATATCTCAAATACGCTCTGTTTTGATTACACCACTGTGGTAGTTTTCACCTTTTTTCTATCTTACCAGGTGTCAGAAATATGAGACAACCCCAAAGAGTGCAAAAATTGCTCAATTCAAAGTTTCGCGAGAACCTGAAGGTTCTCTCAATGCTGGTTACCGACAAACCCTGATTACATTACATTTGAGACACAATGTACTTACGGTAATGCTAAACAAGGATCCGATAACATAACCCAGACCCTGCGAGCAAAGTCCCACTGCCAATCCGATCGCACCAAACCACAAAAATCTATTTAGTTCTATTGGCTGATTCGAGAGAAGGTACACTATACTTAAAAACATAAATCCAAATACGATCTGAAAAATTATAACATTTAGAATCCAGTCATTTAATAAAGCAAAGTCTCACCAATAGCGGCAAAGTTGCAATGGTTAGCGCTATGTAGTAAGCCTTCAGACTGTACCAGCGGTTGAAATATTCGCGCTTCATTAATTTCACTTCTAAAGGAACTGAAATTTTTTTCAAAATGTCGTAAAGCTGCAGAAGTTTAATGTTACTTACATAGTAATACGGGTACCATCACATACGTATACATAAAGAACACGTTAATACTCAGCACATATTTGAACATGGCGATGACTTGGCTAGCGTCATTGCCCAATCCGAAGTAAATTCCGCCGACCAGCAAACCCGATAAAAAATGGTGAAAAAACTGGATGTAGAGGGCGCTATGATTTCTTCGCATCTGAAGGAACATTCGCACCAAGAGGATGTGAAGTTGTCCGCTGAACGGGAGAGGGAACATCAAGTCTCTGCCGTTGGTTATTGCTATCAAACAAATTTAGTAGACGCAAGTATCAATTCAATTCAATTAAATTTTACAAAAACCCGCTTTAAGTCGGAAATGAATTTTAAATTGTTCTTAATTTTAATTAATTGATATTCCTCTCAATAGTTTACATTTTAGTTTAGAATCGACAAGTGGATAGGCAAAATTTTTAAGCTAATTATGAAATAATATATCGGTACAAAATTTAAATAAACTTAAACATGAATTGTTATAAGAATCAGTAGAGCGGTGAGCTAAAACGTACCAGTGCGCGCAGTATCTTGATAAACTTCGAAAATTTCCATGCCCGCTGTGGAAAATTTGTTTTCTTTCTTCTCCTGCATGTTGATTTTTCCGTTTTGAATTTGATTGCTCAAAACACTGACAGTATCTGGAGTCGACTGAACTATTTCTATAACTATTTAAAAAAAAACTTGAATTAGAAAATAACATTAACCTCCCATTCTTAGATACTCTTATCAATAGAAAATCAGACCTAACAATGGGTCATTGTGTTTACAGAAAACCTACGCACACAGACCGATACCTTAATGCATGGTCACATCACCATCAGGCCCAAAAATCATCGGTTATCAACTCTCTTGTTTACAGAGCCGTAAAACTACCTCAGTCTGAGTCACTGAATCCAGAATTAAAACACCTCCCATCTGCTCTTCTCTCTAATAATGTCCACATTAAAAATATTAAAGCCTTCCATCACAAAATACACTTCACCATAACCTTCCAATAGCAATGAAGCTGAAAGCAATCCCACACTTGCCACTATTGTCCTCCCTTATATTCAAAACATCACTGACCACATATCAAAATTTCTAAAGGAATATAACGTCAAAACCAGATTTATCACTTGTTCAAAAATCTTTCACCATCTTCGATCCGTCAAAGACAACATTCCAATTGAGATGCCAGGAGTTTACAACATTCCATGCATATGCGGCAAAGAATACATTGGAGACGAAAAATATCAATTAGGCTCAAAGAACTTGAAAGAACTATTAACGAAACCGGACATACACTTTTATTCGATAAAACTGAAATTCTTGAAAATCTATATGCAAACTTACAATCTTAACCGTGACTCAGGTCTTTACCAGTCACCAATATGCGATTTAGTCATCCGAGACGATGTTTATGCCACTCATTTAGCTCCGCTCCTCTCAAACAATCTATATAAACAGGTAGAGAGTAAAATGAGAGCCAGTTTCAGTCAAGCTTTGAAGAAGCCAACAGGATGATTGGCGAAACGTTCTGAAACGTCTGAACAAAAACCAACACAGGAGGAATCCAGAAGTTTTGTAAGAAGTGTAACAATTTACTTTCAAATAGATCGGCAATTTAGCAATGGTTGAACAGTTCAGTTTATGAAACATGTTACGGTATTTATCACAATTCATTAATATCAAGTATCAGCAAAATCCATCTGAAGTAGAGAAAAGAGAAGAATATATTGTATATAGTATTGTATTGTATAAAGTATAATTGAATAGATAGAATAGATAGCGGTTTATGATGACTAGTTTTTCCCTGAAAAGCAATAAATCAAAATTATGAAAAGAAATGCAAACTTGAAAAATATACACAAGGAAATGGTTGCGCACTTTTAAGGCCGCATTAAAATTAATGTTGCAATAGAAGTGTATCAAACAGTAGTTTTATCTATTTTTTTATTATATTTGGTATATGCTATGCTTCCGTTTAAAATTTGGCTGACTTTATTACTAACACTGTTCTAAACATATATATTTTATAAAATGACATTAATAAAATAAAATAAATAAAAGATAAATTTTATATAAAATGTATTACCATCCACATTTGAGTAATATTTAAGAAAAAAACCATTTTTCACACTTACTATAATCTGCAGGTGTGTAAGTAGAGGGACAAGGGCACCCAGCATTTGCCAGCAATGGGACTAGCTGCGTTGGAGATCCGTTGTAGACACAATAACCATTTGCGATCACATAAACCTTTAAAAACAAATATTTAATAAATTTTCGCATTTACCTATATATGTATTCAATATTTGCAATTTCTTTAAACCAAACATGAATCGGTTTTCACCTAACGTCATAAATATTTAAAAAAAAATTTGTTTAGTTAAAATAAATTCTAATAGAATTTGTAGGTATAGGCGTAGGTAATGCCTTATATCTCCGCCATCTTTTATGACGGATACCAACATGATTGAAAAGGGTTCAACACTGGCATTTTTTAAGATTATAGCCCACTATGACTTTTATGTAAACTACTAACATTATATTCATTTTTCAGAAAACGGGAAATAAAGAAAAAATTCTGTTAGGCCATTGCAAATGACTCAAAAAAGTGCTTTTATTCAAGAAATCTTGCTAGCGGTGGATTGGGAAGGCATTGAAATGCTGTTTTTACCATTAAATAATTCTTTAAAAACCGTAAAGCTTTCAACTCGATAAAGCTGTTCAGTATGTTTCGAATAAAACGAAATAAAATTTCCATTGAAAATATTTACTCATACATGTACTAGGGGTCCTCTCTACGACGTACGACGTTCAATAATCGACACGGCCGTTGACAGTTGGTTAATTCGACAGGTTTCAGTATATATGTAGTTTTTTTGGTGGCAGTATCTTTTAAAATATGCTGAGACCTCGTTAAATGTTCTGGCAAAACGAGTTGAGTGTGCAGAAATTGTTGTTTGGAAAGAAAAGAGCACAAAGTGCAGATTAGTGGGTGAAATTTTGAAGCATGCGCAAAAAGCCATTCCCTCCTCTAAGAAAATATCTTATTTTACCGTGGTAGGGCCACTATATTATTAGCTATATGTCTCTATTAAACAACAAAAATGAATGAACACTATACTATATACTATAATCATCCAAAATATTTACTGGAACCACCAAGGTTGTGTTCAACTTGAAAAGGGTAACACCAACTACATCAATATAGAGAGAGGAGTCTGCCAAGGCTGTCTTTTATATCCTTTGCTGTTTAGACTAGAAGGCGCAAGCATTAACGCCAAAATCGATAATAACATTAGACCGATAACATTACGGCCGAAGCGCAAGAACACCTACAAATATTGATGAACATACTGACCAAAGATAGTGTTAGATGGGATTTAGAGATGGTCATGTCAATACGCAGACAACTCTCAATTTCGAAATTCTTCAAAATGTTAAGAGCTGCATATATCTGGACAGAGAAATGAATAACCATCTAGACCACTCAAAAGAGATAAGAAGAAGAATTGAGATCGTAAGACCTGGATTCCTGAACATGTGTAACTTGTTATGCCACCTCAAGCTGTCTACACCAGTTCGACTGAGAATTCAAGCATGGACATTAAAACAAGAGGACATGAAAAAACTTAACCCACTAGAACTTTGGATGCGCAGTAGAATGCTTCGAATCAGCTGGATATCTAGGACAACCAATGAAGAAGTTGTAACGAGAGTGAAAATTCTCCAGCTGATCACATTAAAATTAGAAAAACTTCCTACCTTGGACACATAATGCGCCATGAACAGTATGAATAATTACAGCTAATCATAGAATGCAAAAATGAGGGTACGAGAAAACTAGGCAGAAAGAAGCAATCGTGTCTCAGAAACTTTAGAGACTGAACACACACCAATGGTAAGATCAAGCCTTCATTAGGGAAGACTTTGCCATATTTGTTGCCAACATCGTAAGAGAATAGGAGGAGGATATGTCTCTATCCATCGGTTGATGTATTTTTTAAATAAAACTCCGTTGTGTTTATACAATACTGAGATTACAACCACAACCTTTTGGACGATCGTTTTGATAACCTAGATAGTACCAATCAAATACTGAGCGAATAACATTTCCCTATCTAATATTCTATTACGCGTTCGTTGTTTAGGTCTGAATTATGGAAATGAAACATTTGGTATATTTTACAGATTCATTTGGCGCAATACTACAATGTGTGCTTTGTTTTTACGTCTATGACTAAACTATTTTGAGGGTGTGTGATAAATTATTACCTGATCGAAGTTTTGAAACAGCGAAGCAGGAGGTTGATGCACCGTGCAAATGACAGTCCGTCCCAATCTTGTAATTTTTTGCAAAAGCTCCATGCATTGTTTAATTGCTACGTTGTCAAGCCCTCTGAAAGGGGGCATACTGATTACAAATCGTGGTTTCTAAGCAACATATTATTTAGCTCTACATTGAAACCGAGTCCTAGAGAACAAGGTTTCGTCAAAAATATAATACTTACGTTGTTGGTTCATCTAAAAAGATAACCGGTGGATTATTAACCAACTCTAAGGCAACGACTAAACGTTTTCTTTGTCCCCCAGATAAATACTCGCTCTTTGTATCGTAGCATTTCTCTAATCCTAATAGTTTGATTACTTCGTCTACCTGCAACCGATAGTGTATCAAAAATGTTTTGAATTCCAAGCGGTTGCTCTAAATAATATTTTACAAACCACGTATTGCCTTTCAGTATCACCGATTTCGGACCCCAGCTTTAGTCTAGCGGCAAACATCATAGCCTCTCGGACGCTTAGACGTGGCTGAATTATATCTTCTTGCATTATGTACGAGGAAAGTTTGTTAAAAATTTTCATATCCCTAGGTCGATTGTTGATTTTAATCATTCCCTTTACACCGGCGGTTCTGTAAAGGAATTTTCATTGTTAATTGCAAATATTTCTAGAAGATCAATATAAAACAAATCGTCGAGAGAAAGACTGCAGAAATGACGGGCATAAACACCGTCTCGAATGACTGATTCCCATATTGATGACAGATAAAGACCTGACTCGCCGTTAAGATTGTTAAGTTGTTTATAGATTTCTATGGATTCTAGATTTTCGTTGGTAGAATAATTGATTATATGATTATTTGTCTTAGTCGTAAGACTCTTTGGTGTTCTTTGAGCTTAGTTGATATTTTTCGTCCGGTCTCTCCAATGTATTCTTTACTTTTTCCTCCTATCCAACGGAATTTTGTCTTTGACGGGTCGAAGATGTTGAGAGATTTTTGGACAAGTGGTAAATCTGATTTTGACTTTATACTTTTTTAGAACTTTTGATAAGAGGTGTTTTGAATGCAAGGAAGGGCCACAGTGGAAAGTATAGGATTGCTTTCGGCATCATTGCTATTGGAAGGTTGTGGTGGAGTGTTTTTTTTATGGAACGCTTAACGTTGAGTGACTCGGGCGGTTTTACGGCTCTGTAAACAGGAGAGTTGATAACCGATGATTTTTGGGCCGGATGGTGATGTGACCATGCATTAAGGTATCGGTCTGTGTGCGTAGGTTTTCTGTAAAGCACAATGAACCAATATTAGGTCTGATTTTCTATTGATAACAATATCTAAGAATGGAATTTTTGTAACTCAATGGTAAAACGTTTGTTACCGTGTATAGAGTTTAAATGTCTAAGAAAATGTACTAGGATTTCTTGACCATGAGGCCAAATAACAAAAGTATCATCGACGAGCGTTTCCATAATTTTGGTTTTATATGAAAGGTGTCGAGAGCTCTCTTCTCAAAGGCCTAAATATATTCGCGATGACTGTGGAGAACCCATAACTGTTCCTGACGTTTGTTCAAAAATTTGACCGTTATAAGAAAAATATGTTCCAGACAAGCATTTTTCAATTAAGGTGAGAAGGTTTGGTTCCAGATTTTCGGATTTTAACATATCTGAAATGATGTTGAGAGTTTCAAGAATAGGATTTTATTAAAGAGGGATTCTACGTCTAAACTAACTAGAATATCTTGTGTATCTAATGTAATGCTTTTTAATTGTTCAATGAAGTGAAAGGCATTAAGTACGAAACTATCAGTTTTCCCTCTAAGGGGTTTTATTAAGGAAGTTAGATAGTTTGCTAGAGAATATGTTGGAGAACCAATGGTGCTGACAATAGGTCGAAGGGGTAACCCTGGTTTATGGTTCTTTGCGAGTTCGTAGAGACGAGGAATTTTAAAGTAATGGGGAGGTAACAGGTTTTCTGATAGTTAATAATAATAACAGATTTAAGGTTGCGATCCATAGATGACAAAGGATCTTTTTTAAGTTGACAATATTATCCGTATGTAAGAATATCTTGAATCTTTTCCTGATATTAATTTGTGTTGACCACCGTAGAATTTCCTTTATCTCTTCCTTTTAGGATTACGATGTCTGAATTATATTTTAGAGATTTTAGGGCAATGCGTTCAGGTTTCGCAATATTAGATTTAGGAGGTTTTGATTTTTTAAGGATTTTTGCGATTTAAAATCGAATTTCGTTAGCTGTTTGAGATGGCAGGATAGACTCAACATTTCAAATGATTTCCTCTTTTGGGATAATACGTGGCGCAAGGACGAAGATGGAACCTGTTGAACGAACTATCTTTTACGTTTTCGAAAGCTGATGCGATTATACATTTATTATAGTGTTTGGTAGTTGAAAGGAGTTTTATGGTTTTCCTAGTATTGACGTTAGTTTTTCAAATTTCTGAATGTGATTTTGGATAGAAGATGAACGACGATTTAAAGCTTTTTCATGAGTTATATATGAAAGGGTATAGAACTCGGATGGGGACAAGATGGAAGCAATTTCAAGGTGTAGAGACAGAAAAGCCTTATTGATTTGGTCTATTTCTTTACGGGAATGATGAATTCTTTCTCGAAGTAAAGCAAAACTAGATTTTCAAAGAATTTTATAAGCGGATAAGGTTTTGACATGATGGGATATCAGTTGCACGCTTTCAGCATTCTAGTAAGGGGTGAATAAATTCCATAATTTGCACTATGGTAAGGTATGCGAAACATTGAGTTTAATTGTATGCTATATAAAAGAGCTGGACAATAATACCAACCATTCAAAACTTAAAGAGAAAAAATAAATCGGTCTTGAATTTTCAGGTTTCTACAGTATCAATATTGAATGCCACTGAAGCCAAAGATAAATACTTTCTGAACGGCTTCGATGTTATCTATATGGCAGGTATAATATGGAGACACAGATGCATACTCCAGTTTAGAGAGAACCAAAGAAATATAGTTGAGTTTAAAGCAATGTGTAGTAAGTTGGCCACTATTACGTACAACAAACCCAAGAACTCGCATGGACCTGTTTACGCAAAATGTGTCACAAAACTTAGTTTAGAATCCAAGAAAACACCCAAGTCTCGACTTCATCAATGCTATACACTATATACTAAGTATACTCCAGCGAAAGCTATTTGTTATTCACATATCTTTTCTTCTATGGGAAATAACAACAATAATATAAAGTAGATTAACAATACTAAGTGTTAAAGAAATAGTATTACTAAAAGTAAAATTGAAAGCCAAATGAGTTTAACCGAGAAAGACTGTTTTTTCTAAAAACAATATGAATAACCATTTAAACCCATTTATAACCGCCAAAAGAAGGTTCTGAGTTACGTGTTCCCCCTATCTAAATATTAAGGTAGTAAGAAAGAAGGAACACAATTTTTGGTTCTTTTCTTTTAAATACACGAAATTTTTTGAGATCCTAAGACTAGATTCCGCGCTATATATAATAGTTTTTGTTTTTTTTTTGTTTTTTGCTATACTGGGTGTTTCAAAACAAATACGAAAAAATTAAAATAGAGGTTAGGTTGTTATATAGACGTCAGGTCAAAAGGGAGATATACAAGTATGGCGGAATTTTTTTTTTTATTTTTTATCCTAAAAACAAAAATAGAAAAATTAAATATTACCGAAGTATTGCTATTTTAAAAATTCACTTTCTGCGTATTTTTTTATTTTTAATTAATAATCTAGTCGTGTGTAAACTAATATATATATGTAGTATATTTTTTAGGTCTTAAATATCCTGTTTTGGTGTAGTGTAGACTAATTTTTTAATTATCTCAATTGACGACACGCTTTCAGGCGTGACAGCAGCCCACTGTCTTTTTTATTTATTTTTTTTTATCTCATTATTTATTGCTTTAGAATATATGTTTTTGTTTGGATAAACATGCTAAAACATAAAATTAAAAAAAAAATGTAAAGAAATTATAGGACTATCAATTTTCATTTTTAAGATAAAAAATAAAAACATTCTTTTGCCGCCATACTTGTAGCGCAACCTCTCCCCAATGGTTGGCTCTCGACCAAATGTTTATATAACAAACTGCCCTGTAAAAGGACTAAATATTTTCGCAATAGTAATAACAACAAAGTGGAAACTCCTCATAGATCCGAATCGATGCTTAATTCGAGTTTATGAAAAAAATGCGAACTTAATAGACTAACAATTAATTACCTACCTAAATTGTATTCAGAAGTTATGCAACGCAAAATATATTTCTAAGAATTCATTAGTACAATATTTTTAATCTCTAACAGGAATCTTAATGGATCCGGGATTTTACGTATATTGTGAGTTATAATAAAGTCAAACGGTTAGCGTTTTTGTTAATTTTGTTACAAAACTTATTTGCTGCATGCACTCTAATAACGTATGATCAGCAAATGTTTGCGAATTCTTTAGGTTGCTATAGTTGAGGCGGTGTTTCCGCACTTTTATGTTATAAGTAGTAGAATGTCGGGTTAGTGCACAAAGTCTTCTTGTAATTTTTAATCAATTTAATTAATTATTTTTCTTTAATTGCTCTTAGTTTATTATTATTATTCCCTACGTCAAACAGTTTTACACACTTAGTAAAATAATTGTTTTTATATAAACATGTAAGAAAAATATTTTGTTTTTGTTTACTCCTGTTTAAATTTTTATGCTTTCCCAGAGTCCTAGTATTTAATATTTTTAATATTTTAGGTTAAGTTCCCTTCAGACTTTCACAAACATTCCGTGTATTAAGTTTGTTATTTGGTGCAAGTAACTGTAATGTCTACTTTGTGGTCTTTTCTATCCCTTCCTGCAAGCCTTATGAGCTTGGAGCAACAATTTTTAACATGTTAGGTAATTTAATTTAAATATGAGAGAATTTTTGTGTGATTATGGGAACACAATGTTATTGCATCGTAAAAACAAACAAAATATTGTTCCGTAAAGTCATCGAATACCTACATCAATTAGTTTATCTACGTGAAAGAATACACTTATCATTGCCGACTAATTATTATATAATTTGTATTAAGCACTGGAAAATTTTGAAAGCAAATTTGCTTAGCGTATTTGAGTGAGTTGCAAGTTTTAAATATAATTTCCACTGACATTTACTATTTTGCGATTTTCTTTGCATCCAAAATTATCCACAATATCCTGAAGTTTTAAGTACGTGGTCCATGTTTATCGTTAAATACAGAACAGTTACTAAAAATCTCGGTTTTAATTATACTTTCGCTTTAAATACTTTAATTATACAGTTTACTCACACGTATCCTGCTAAGATATTCAGTAATGTGCTTTTCCCCGCTCCAGAGGGACCCATTATGGCCGTCAATTCTCCCGAACAGAATTTTCCATTGATGGACTTAAGTAGATTTCTCCATCCTGCAAAAATTACAACGTATTTAGTCACTAATTTAATTAAAAGCAAGAAGCCGGGGAAGTACATACATAACGCAGAAGAAAATAAGTAGATAAGGGTGTAATAAACACGAAAGCTTTATAAGGTCCAAACAAATTCACTAGAAGTGACTTTGTGTTTAGCAAAACTGCTTATATGCGACGCAAAAACGGCATATTTGAAACATTGCCCAAGGATCGATTTTAGTTGATTGAATTTCGTCTAGAATTTTTATGTTTCATAAAATTTTAAGCCTTTTTTCGTTTCTTCATGAATCGTCACATTTAATAATTTTTAATAATTCAATGTGGTTCAAAATGATCACTTCAAATGAAATTGCTGATCAATTTCAATAAAAATGTATACAGTTTTTTTTAATAATTAGCGCCATGTGCCTCAATACTCAAATGAAATCAATGAGTCTAAACCTATATTTTTTGGTTTAGTTAAAGATCAATCAATTTGAAACTAAACTTTTAGATCAAATGCTACTTAAAATAGTAACTCAAAATTAATCTTAGCAGAATATGGCTGTTTGGAGCGCATTATTTTCTGTATTTATGAAGATCCAGCGAAGAATCGAAAAATGAAAGCAAAAATTTTACGTATCAAGCAATTCTCACAAAAAAAAAATAAGAAAAAGAAAAAAGGAAAAAAAAATGAGAAAAGTGAGCCCTTTTAGGTCATTTGTTTTTGTTATTTTTTTCTTCTTTATAATAATATTTCAAATAACTACAATTTGGTGGGTTAATAGGCAAAATTTTTTTAGTCACCCGTTTCTAGAATTTTCTTCGTACATAACAAAGAATTTTTAAACATTAGGTATTGTCCTTCACCATCAATATCATGTGTCACCCTGTAAAATGGTTAGCAACCTACTCATTAGTTGTTACTGCATACATTAAACAAGGTTAAGGAATGTCTTTTGCAATAATCTGTTTACTTCCGATAGCGGTAGACAAAAACCATGCCAGGCATCGACTTTCTCCGAGTAACAGTTGTTATGTAACTGCATTTTTTATATTTTCCATTATTTTGTTGTGAACGCTTAGGTATATTATTAGCAGGAAATAAAAATAACAAATAAAAAAATAATGAATAAAATTCAACACAATACCACAGGTATCCTCAGGGTATCTTATAAAGGTAATGGTAGAAACATTATGAAAATCTAAAAGAAGGTACATTTTTTCATATGCTGTCTAATCTCTCGCTTTTTGGCTCATTTGCATTTATAAAATTCAAGTTATCTTTTTCGATTAAAAAAAAATTAAAAGAAAAGAAAACGTACGGGAAGTAATAAAAAACAATATTTAACAATAAGAATTTTGGTAATAGTAATAAAAAAAACTTGAACTCAAGTGTTGGAATTTTCCATCATCTACCTCAATATCTACATCTGCCAATTTTTTGTAATTATACGTTTGGGCTCAATCATAATATTTTGGTGTCTAATATCTCCCGACGAAGACTAGGCTCCTATAGTTTCGTTCACTAATTTGGGGACACCCTGATATCCGCAATAATGAGTGAAACTAACCAAAACTAACTAATTTATATGCCGTGGGTGACTAACGTTACAAAATGTTTGAAGTAGTTTATTGAGAACTGATTGTGCGACTTTAATTCTACATTTCTAGTCACCTCCATCTGCAATATATAGATATTAGATATCAATCCTTTAATAAATTATCATATTCGTCTCATCTGCGAAACTGAAATTTCCGCAATAAGGATTTTTTTTACATATCGTTAATTTTATTTGATAATTATTTCGAACTGGAAAATTATTCAGATGTTCACAGTTCAGTTCTTTGGACGTTGAAACCGGGAAGTAATAGTAATGATTAACAGCTATCGAAAAAAATCAAAGATGGAAACCTTTTACGTCTTTTACGTCAATAGTAAGCGAAACCAGTAATTTTCGCTTCTGAATTGCATCGGACTATTTGATACAAAATTTATTTATTTATAAATTTGACATGACTCGAATGCAATAATAAAAAGTGGGGGTGTCAGAATAGATATACGGGGTAGGGTCAAAAAGTAATCTAACCCTAATTTATTTTTTAATTGAAAATTGATTGAGCAAAATATGTACGTTCGTTTTATCTAATGTAGTTTATTTTTTTTTATGCCCAGTACCTAAGAATTTTATTTATATTTGAGGCGAAACATATGTAGTAGAAGATTAAAAACAAGTTTTTATCTCAATTTGAAGAATTATCTACATTATTATACCATTTAAAAAAAATATATCAGTTTTAAAGATATTTAGTTTTAATCCTGGGTTTAAATAACTATATCAAGTGTATATTTTTGAAAATTTCATTCCAAACTAATCAAAACTGAACAGACATCCAGACAGATTCCAGTTGTGTCTTGTACACATCCTATTTTGCATAAAATTCCATAGAAACAAAACAAAATCGAGAGATTCGGAGTAGGTGCAGCCACAAAAATTTTCCAAGGAATCAAAGCTTAAGAAGTTGGCCCATTTTTGGTATTTAGCTTTGTGTTTTAAATTAAATCAGCCATGTCTAGTGAATTATTGAAAAGTCTAAATCTTAAGGTTGTTTTTTTTTAATAACTATACCTACGTGAACTTCATATGTTTGAAAAGTCCACATTATGCAATACCCATTACGCCCAATGTACAGCGTGTTTTATTTAAAAAATGAACTGGGGTCCAATATATTTTAATTCACTTCGTATACCTATTCCAATAACGGCACTAAATTCTTAGCAAACCTACGATTATTAGCTTTTCGATAAATTAATAAATTGCGTTTGTGTGTACTTTATACACAGAAAGTTACAGCGCCCTCTGCATACATGCACTAAATTTTTAATTATTATACTTTGATTAGTAAGCTGTTTTTATTTTTATAAGCAAAAACCTAAGTAGAAAAACATTTTCGTGTGGGTTAATAACAAAAATATTAGGAATTAGTGAAGTCCGGACCTGCCGCACGTATAGTAGTTCGTTTGAAAGTAGCTCAAATGTACGAGGTAATAAGCGAATTGACGGTTGCTGACGTAAAGCGAGACGTAACACGCAACGTTGTCGGTAGTAATTATTTTGGAATGAAGGTTGCCCATAATTTTAGGGTAATTAATTTGATTCCACTGTTAATTTTAGGTTGTAAACTTTATGGGAAGCGAAACTATAATTAATATCAATGGACTGATTGTATTTATCGTTATCGTTCACAAAAGGTTTGCATTAAATTTATTCTAACACAGAATAAGCAGCACAATGCGGAGCAACTGGCAACATGTCAATGGCATATCCTAGAAAATAATAAAAACGCCTTAAAACTTCGTGTTTATCGAATTTTTGTGAGGAATAATGTTAATTGTAAACAAATTTTGCAAAATTCGTGGCGTAGAGAATCGTTTAATAGAGTATTTGAACCATATTGAAGCAAGGACTTGCTCCCACACGAATGTTTTCTATGAAAGTGGATGCGGAGGTTCCAAATAAGTTCTCAGTGCAGTGCCACGGCTCTGTAGAGGAAGTCATAACCTCTCTTATCATTTTTACAAATTGACCCAAAAATTAATGGAAACGGGTCGTTTTCGGCCCGAAAAGCCGGGTAACAAACACAATCAAACTGGAACTCATGGAATTAGAAAATATTGTGGCCAACACTGTTTACCTAAAAGCGAGGGAGGGTGGTTCAGATACCAACAAAGGTAAAAGCAAAAAGTGGAGGAAGATTTTGCAGTTTCCTCACATATCTCAGTGCATCGATCTAGTAAATCAAATAGATATTCGGTATGATTATGTCATTGAACAACAACCAATTGGTAAACTGTTGTTCGCGCAGTGGTGCGAGGTTAAGGGACCCCAATGTCACCAGCGTTTACGTTTCTTAGATGCTGTTAAACGATATGAACTAGAGACAGATGACCAACAAGAAGAGTTGGTCAGTGTTCTCAAAAAAGAATTTTTGGTTAGTGCCGAAGGTCCAGAGGGTATAATGTTAGGGTAAGCACCAACATAGTTACAACAAATTCAGTGCTGCTGTAGTTAGAATCTGCACCATTGTGCTACAATTATTTTACTCTTAGTTGCTTTGTTATAGATATACTCATTTCCAATTATTTGTATTCTTGTTTTCTAGAATTAATATCCCTGACTTGGCCATTGGAGACAGGCTTGCTAACAATCAAGACAAGGACTTGCTAACGCAGTATGTTCAGGCTGTCAGGAATTATTTAGCGGGCGACCCTTTTCTGGAATTTACGAAATCGATGTATTTTCATCGTTACTTGCAATGGAAATGGCTAGAATCTCAACCAGTTACCTACAAGACTTTTCGAATGTATCGTGTTTTAGGCAAAGGTGGGTTTGGTGAAGTGTGTGCCTGTCAAGTTAGAGCAACAGGTAAGATGTATGCCTGCAAAAAATTGGAAAAAAAACGCATTAAGAAGAGAAAGGGTGAAGCAATGGTATTGATTGAAAAACAAATTTTGCAAAAAATCAACTCACGCTTTGTTGTAAACTTATCTTATGCTTACGAAACCAAAGATGTATTGTGCCTAGTACTTACTATAATGAATGGAGGTGATTTAAAGTTCCACATTTACAATATGGGTAGCGAACCGGGTTTGGATATTACCAGAGCAAGATTTTACTCAGCTGAAGTGATATGTGGTCTTGAACACTTACATCAACAGGGTATTGTTTATAGGGATTGTAAACCAGAAAATATATTACTAGATGATGAAGGTCATGTTCGGATCTCAGATTTAGGTTTAGCAGTAGAAATTCCGGAAGGTGAATCAGTTAGAGGTAGAGTTGGTACAGTAGGATATATGGCGCCGGAGGTTATAGATAATGAAAGATATACATTCAGTCCTGATTGGTTTAGTTTTGGTTGTTTGTTGTATGAAATGATCGAAGGTCAAGCACCATTCAGGGCTAGAAAAGAAAAGGTTAAACGGGAAGAAGTAGATCGTAGGGTAAAAACTGTACAGGAGAAGTATTCAAATAAGTTTAGTGAAGACAGCAAGACTTTGTGCCAACAGCTGCTAGCAAAAAATCCGTCTCAACGACTGGGAGGAAAAGCTGGAAGAAATGGTGCCGCTCAGGTTAAGCAACATCCATTTTTTCAGACTATAAATTGGAGACGATTAGAAGCGGGCCTGATAGATCCACCATTTGTTCCTGATCCTCATGCTGTCTATGCAAAAGATGTCTTAGATATTGAACAATTTTCAACAGTTAAAGGTGTAGATATAGACGAGAGTGATACCACTTTTTACAGCAAATTCAATACGGGATGTGTGTCGATACCCTGGCAGACAGAAATGATAGAGACTGATTGTTTTAGGCAATTGAATGTGTTTGGGATTAATAACACTAGATCGCCAGATTTGATATTACAGCCAGCGGCCGCAATAGATAATAAAGGTTGTTTTCCATTCCGACGGAAGAAAAAACAACTTCCGAGGTCCCAACCAGTACCTATTAATCCTAATTTATTGTCTCAGGTGATTGATAGCTGATATAACTCTGTTAATTGTGTCATTGTAGTTATATAAGATTTTAAATTATCATTTTTGTCGTGTTAGCACTTTTCAACCTATCTTTGTATATATATAAAAATAAGCTTACAGCATATTTCACTAATTATGTTATTTTTATACAATTGTTGCATCTGTTAACATTGATACTCAAAGTCTCAGACTTTTTACCCTGACATGGCACAATGGTAAAGCTAACTTATGATCAATATAACCCTTCCATTTATTACTAGCACCTTGGGGATTTACAAAAAGATTGTTATTATCAAATGAGAAATTTTAGCATATAAATTACTGGCAGACAACAACATATTTTATGTTATTTGATAAACAAAGCCACAAATGGTGAATGGGAGAATATTTTATCTCAAGAATGGAGGCGAAGAGAAAATTTGCAAAGCCTTCATTGAAACAATTAGGTTTGTGTGAATGTTTCTCTACTTGGGATATATTCCCAATTTTGTAATAAATGGCTACAAAATTTCTTGGTGAAAACAATTCCAAATTGCATGTGGGCAGTTAAATTAATTATTTTAAAAAAATCGGTAATAACCATTTAATATATCTGTTTTTAACAATCTTTTGTGATAAACGTAGTGACTTGGTACTGTCAATTGATTAGTGCCTAACTTGCAAGATTCACCAATAGTATGTGAAAAACAATGATGTAAATTTTTTAGCGAAATTTTTAATGTCTGCATGAAGATAATATTGCATGTTTACCATTTTATCTAATATAGCTACTTGTATCCTAATATTTTTGTTACTTAAGTGATTTGTTTGCTGAATCTCAGAAGGAAAAATAATGTTGTCACTAGTCTTCCGTTCAAATTATACTTGCTGAAAATTAAAAGCAGTTTTTTTATTATTATTCTTACTAAACACTACACAAATTACATTTTTCGTCTTTAGTAAAAAAATGTTGTTCTACAGGTACTTATTTTCAGTTGTTTGTTTTGTGTTTATTTTGATTATTCAAGTATAAATGTACTCAATAAATCCTGTATTTATAGTTATCAGATATGTAATTCTTAAAGACATAGAAGTGCTTCTCAAACATATTGTTATTGTCCACCAAATTGATTTATTTGAAATCTTCAATCATATCATGAACAGTATACTGAGCTAAAAGGAGGATGTGAGGATACAAAGCAGAAGAATTAATTAAAGAAAAAATAGAAAATGTTCGACATTCGATATACAGGGTGTCCCAGCTTATGGGTTCTAACATCTAACTGCTCATGCTCTACATTTATCATTAAAATATTTAAAACAAAAGTACCTAATTTATTAATATTAAATTCATTTTACTGATGTTTTATTGGAACGCTATACTTTGAAAGTTTACTTTTATAAGTCGCATTAGATTGAAACTTTTGAAGTTTGATGTTAAAGCTGGTACATGATTATATTAATTGGATTGCTACTACTAAAGTAATATATTTATATCAGTAGCGCCAAACCTATGTACAAAGTGTAATGTTTAACGTTTTCAGTTCTAATACACAATGGCGATCGATTTTGTGGGGCTTTTATTTCTAAATTTTTGGAGACGTACTTATATCAATAACTAGCCCAATCTATTCATGGCAACTTAAATTCGTTTATGCCGGTGTGGATGTTCCGTCATTTGCTTAGACAAATTTAAATAGTACAGTTATCCATCTGTAGATGGCAGAGTCACTAAACTTTCCACATACAATTGTTGATCCAAAATGTATACTCATCCAACGGATTAACTCCATCTTCTTGCCTGCTAGAGGGTATTCTTGTTTATCGTTTGAAATTTTCTCTTATTTACATTTTTTTTCTGCTACAATGACAATGTCAGTCGCACATAATAACAAATAGTCAGTTATATTGCCTTTTATTAACTGCACACTAATCGATCAAAAATATGAATAATTAGTAGTCAGATGGCGATTCAGACATGTACAGTATATGATTTGCATGGCGGAACATCTATCCTATATTCAATATGAAAGGCTATATATAGGAAGCGTTGCTGTAAAAAAAGAGACTGACGCACAAAATACCTGTATATGTTCTGAATTAAATCACCATTTGGTGATGTTTTTATCAGAACGTATTTTAAGTTGATAGTGGCGTTTAAAGTAAATGCCAAGTATTTACTGGGTTTGCCGTTGCATTTTTAGTTATGTTCCTTCCGCGCTTGTCTAACATTGTATCTCACAAACAACATGTATACATTTTACATCCTGTAGATATTTTTGTTTTTAGCAAGAATAGTAGAAATTAATATTGATGTATTTATTGTGATAGTATAATGTATCCTATTTACTATTTTCATACAATTCTATTTTTCTTATTTTGCTTTATTTATTAGAATAAATAAATAATAAAAACTTATTTCGATAACTTTTTTTTTGTTCTTGGAAAACGTAGTAACCTATTTGTAGTTTAAGCGATTTACAACATTTTTCAGGTTCAATACCTGCCGAATATGTGGATTATTTTGGTACAGAAAACATGTAAATAGACATATAGTTATCGGTACAGAGTAAACAATGTTTATATAAAATAAAATCTCAGACGCTTAACATTTGCATATTTTTTAGTATTTGACTTAAATTGTCTACTGTTTCGAATATATTTGGCGAATTTTGCAAATGTAAAATATGATGATTGTACGTTGACTGAATAGTTTGTTTACTAACACCAAAGTCAGCTATTTCTTTCTATTTGAACTATTGGAATTGGAACAGAGCGAAATGTGGCAAAATGTCGATTTTTTAAATGTTTTATTAGATTATAGTGTGACAAATGAAATTTGAGCTCAAAGCAGAAAATAGTACTTATAGATACATCTTGCGTAGAAAAACAAGAGCATTATTATGTTGCATTTGTATATTTTTTTAAAAGCTAAAGTAGGTAAAAAAGACAGCCAATTATATCTTAAAAATAAACTACTTAACCTCATGCACTTTTCGAGTATCGCAAGCAGTATAGGGTTAGTCCAAAAACTATCCACAATAACCAAAATAAATCAACATGTACAAGGGGGGGGGATGTTATCATTTATTTGCGGTTCCAATAATATCTTGGACGAGTTTACTGTTGGCTGTAGATGACAAATTTTTCTCGTCCTATTAGCCCGGATACGCTAACATATGCGCGATAATATTGTACGTCGTTATTTGTGAAATTTATAAAACTGATTAATTTTGTTTATAAAATTGTTCAATTAAAACGTATCAAATAAGATTTTCTGTGTTTTTATCAACCCATTTAGTCAACATAGAACCCCATCCTGTTAGGAGCTTTTAAACGCGTGAAAAGAGCAGTTGCGGTACCATATAGATATAGTTGATGTACACCGTGTGCCAAATAAAAAGAGCCACTATCCAATCTGGAAACACATAGGAGATACGAAAAAAAAAAAAGTTTCTTGGACTCTCCTAAAAATTTAAAATATTATAATTTTGATGATACAGGATGCCCCAAAAGTGTCCCCTCCGACATCAACTTTGTTAATTTAAATGGAATACCTTATATATTTCGACATTTTTGAAATACTTGGTTAAAATAAAGGTCACTTTCTTAAGAAATTCCTATCGAATTTTGCAAAGTTTAGGCAGAAATTGAGGATATTTTTTTTTCATATTTTGTTTGCACCATATAAAATTGTGTTGTGAAGCTACTCATTCAGGCATTGCAACGAAAATTTAACCACAGACTAAGGAGATGACGCGCTACTCAATCAGTTTGACAGATGCGCGTCAGCTTATACAAGATGTCCCAAATAGGTGGTGCCGTTTTGGAGAATTTAATTAACAAAATCTCAGGATTTTCAAATGGAACACCCTATATTTTTATTCAGTTATCAATTTTAGGACAAAAAACAAGATAAGTTTGTAATTTATCTTATATTTAAATTTTACTTACTTTTTGAGATATTCGAGATTTAAGATAACACCCCTATAAATTCTTTATTCTTAATAAATTTAAAGCTGCCCACTTTAGCTCACTTGTTGGCAATATTAGGTATTTTTTAAATAGCAAAGACGCGATACTATTTATTTTAAAGATGTAATACTGCAGACAGATGAATAAAACCTATTTCTAACAATACAGGGTGTCCATTAATACGTGGAGATTTTGAGAAAATCGATTCTATACTACGTACTTTAACAGATTTAATAAAACTTCAGAATTCATAATTAAAGAAACAATCTAGCTAAATAATTAAAGTTTATAGGTTAACCAAAACCAACAAGAATTTGTACAGGTGCTATCTTAAACCTCGAATATCTCAAACAGTAAGTAAAATTTAAATATTAGATAAATTACAAACTTACCTTGTTTTTTGTCCTAGAATGATATCTGAATAAAAATGTAGGGTGTTCCATTTGAAAATCTTGAGATTTTGTTAATTAAATTCGCCAAGACGGCTCCACCTATCTGAGACATCCTGTATAAGCTGAGGCGCATCTGTCAAAGTGATTGAGTAGTGCATCATCTCCTTAGTGTGTGGTTAAATTTTCGTTGCAAAATTCGAATAGGAATTTCTTAAGAAAGTGGCCTTTATTTTAACCAAGGATTCCAAAAATGTCGATATATACAGAGTGTTCCTTTTAAATTAACAATGTTTATGTCGGAGGGGACACATTTGGAAGATCCTATATTAACAAAATTATAATATGTGTCTCTGAAGATGTACTACCTTCTGTAGATAACCTCTCACACTTGAACATTTTGATTTAATCTATTTACGAGAAACTGTTGACTCTAGACAAAACAAAGGATCCGGTCCCGATGGCCTCCCACCATATCTTATTAAGCAATGCAGCTTCATACTTTCCAGACCACTTTATATAATCTTTAACCATTCTTTAAAAGCGGGAACTTTTCCAAATTACTGGAAATCAAGCTTCATTACCCCTATCCTAAAATCCGGCGATAACTCGCAAGTCAACAATTATAGGCCCATCAGTATCCTGAGTTCCTAAAGTGTTCGAAAGTTTAGTTTGCGACAATTTGCATTGCTCCCCCATCGCTCCACTGAGCTAAAATTGCTCACATTCTCAGATTTTCTGTTGGAATCATTGGAGGGGGGGTCACAGGTTCATGCCATTTACACAGACTTTTAAAAGGCTTTTGATCTAGTAAATCACCAAATCTTAATAAAAAAATTGCGAAACATTGGAATCCAGGGAAAAAAAGAGTGCAGATTGTGCGCGTCCAGAGCTTCAAATCCGTCGAAATTAGAGTGCTTTCTGGTATTCCTCAAGGATGTGTCTATTGCCTCATGTTTTCATCACGCATGTATCCTATTATTTGCTGACGACTTAAAATTCTATATGAGAGTCCACAATGCTGATGACTGTATAAAACTCCAGTCCGATTTAGATCACCTATCGCTATGGAGCGATTTGAATGGAATGGAACTAATTATTAATAAATGCCAACAAATGAACTTTTACCGGAGCAGAAACCCCATACATTTTGCAGGCCTCCGTAATAAGGGATCTTGGAGTGTTACTCGATATTGAGTTCACTTACACACACCATGTTTCGTTTATTGTGTCTAAATTGCTTCAGATTTTGGGGTTTATTAAATGGACTTCCAGAGTTTTCCGTCTCTCAGATTACTGTTCTGCTCCTTCGTGCGTCCACACCTGGATTATTGTTCCTGTGTGTGATCACCTTCGTATAACATCCACATGTAAAGAGTGCAGCATAGGTTCCTGCGGTATATAGCATTTAAGGAGTACCAAGGACTTGAGGACGTTGATTACTCTGAATTGGAAAACTCTCTCCAACGTACAACTCTTTAGATTCGTCGTATGCAGAGGGACCTCACTCTTTTTTATAATCTACTGCATTCAAATTCCCATGGATCTGAGCTGTTATGTAAGATGGGGCTAAACCAGTCCTTCCAGGTGGAGTTCCGTCGTACTAACTATGGGCAGAGTTCTTTTCTTACTACGTCAGCTGCACTAGCGAATCGCTTTTCTGACCAACTTGACTGCTTCCAGAGTGCAAGAATATTTAAGAAAGAACTTAAAGGCTGTCGGTAAAACTATCCCGCTTTTCTTCGCAATGGTATTGTGTTGGTGCCTCGCTACTGTTACAACTGTCGTGTCGACTAACTATACCAATATTTAATATTTTGGAAAACCAATGTTTGTCATATTAGAGTAAGGTCTTCATCTATCTATTTCATTCTGTTTTAATGTTGTTTTATTTTATTTTGTTGTTTACTATTTTGTTTATGTGAATCATATGTTATATTGGCCCGTTGATAAATAAATAAATAAATATTTTAAATCTTCGGGAGAGTCCAAGAAACTTTTGTAAAAAGCTTTTTTCGTATCTCCTATGGGATTCCAGATTGTATAGTGGGTCATTTTATTTAGCACAGGGTGTACGTATAGAGCCACGATGAAAAAAATATTAAGAACTGTCATTTCAAATCACGCTTATAGTCATTAAGAACTAGCGGCTTTTGACAACCAACATGGCCGCTGACGGTTAGTTAATTCCACAGTTTTCAGTTTGAATGCGGCAGTATTTTGTCAAAACATGTTAAAATTGCGTTCTTAAAATATCTACCTTGTCTAACCTGCATCCATTATAAAATAAATGTAGTAATGTAGAAACTTTGCATTCGTTATTTTAGCCCGAGCAAACAATTGAAATTAAATTAAGGAAAAAACTGTAGGCAATAAGGTCAAAGTGGCACAGTTGAGAATGATTTATCAGGTCTAATTAATAACGCCTTAACTAACATTAAACCCAATAAAACAGTGTTCGAATGTCGGTGTCGATTTGAATAGGTGCCTCGCAGTAAACCAGAGCACAAATTGTGTCTTGAAAATAATGTTAGTACTTCGTATAAAATATTGTTTTAACGTTGAGCCTGAAGGGTTTTTAAATAAGTATTATTAAAATAATCATACAACCGAAGACGATATCTAAGTTCTTAATTGACCAACGGTTAAATAAAAATAAGTAAGGCTAAACTAAAAAAATAACTCTTTTTATATTTACTTTTTCCCATTTTTATAGATGCTGTTTAAGTATTAACCAATTCTACAAAAAAGAAACCTACTTTCAGTTTAGTCCGAAACGTCAAGCAGGTGTGAATGTCAACTTTTTAATTGACATATTGCGAATTGATTTTGATTTTTGTTTTGACAAAGTGAGAAGTTTAATAAACGAAATAAATTTTTGTTACCATACTCCTCTTTTTTTGTTTTGCAGTATGCTGTAACCTGAAAATTTGAAAAATATTTGACAAACTGCAAGATTTAAAAATAAAAGTGTTAAATAAAGTTTAACGTTCTGCCTTCACAGTCCCAATATTTTCATGAAGACAGTTAAGACTCATCTTTTCGACTCATGCTGTATACTCGTCAATTCATCGAAATGTGGTCCCAGATTTTGGTGAAAAACTATATATTAATGATATTCGTAATAATTTGGTTCGTGGTTAAAGTCAATGACAATATAGCTATGAACATTGAAGCGTAAATTTTTAAATTTTAGTTAAACTCACGATTAATGGAAATTTTGTGTCAGACGTTAACATTTCAATAGTTTTTGTATCAAGATAACAATATGTATAATATAGGTTATTTGTCTGCACGTTATTTGATACACATTAAGATTAATTAAAATTAAACAAACGTGTTAGACAAAATGTGGCCCGTTTTGTTTGTTTTGTTTAATTATTCTTTGTTTAAAAATTTCATAAATATTTGTGCTAATAATTATGTATACCTACTAAACGAATGTATACCACGTCTTAAGACTAATTTTGATTGTATTGACCATATAGCTATTAGAATTGATGAAAAAAAAAGAGATTTGCAATCTAATATGCGCATGCTCGGTCATTTTCAACCAATAAGACCTAGCCGCGTTTAACTACCAACATGGCCGCTGACAGTTCGTCAATTCGATAGGTTCCCACCGCTACGAAAATATCAGAGCTACCGAGTCGCATCAATTTTTACACTGCTATTGCTACTATATTATCTAATATTTATTCGGTATTGACGAATAAGTGCAAAAATGAACAAGTAGGTTTGTCGTTACGTCATTTTCTACCGGTAAACAAGTAATTCTTAAAACTTTACGTCAAGTTTCCAATAAACAAATTTAATTTTTTTTAATGTTTTTATTTTGACCCAAAGTAGACCCAATA